TCTCTAGGCGTTACCCTTTACTGCTTGATCTTTGCCCGCATCCCCTTCCTGGCGGAGGACGAGTGGCGCATGTTCAAGAAGATTGCTACCGAAGACATCTACATTCCGAGACAGCGCCTCCGCCCCGTCGATCCTTCCACCAAACCCGACGAAAAGTCCCTGTACACGCGAGTTAACCGCGATCCGTATCGTAACGACGACGAGCCCTTATACGAAGAGATTGATAACGACCTCTACGACCTGCTCAGCAAGATGTTGACCAAGAACCCCGAGAAGCGGATCCGCCTGCGTGACGTCAAGAGACATCCATGGGTCCTTAAGGACATTGATAATGTCATAGCCTGGCTGGATGATACCGATCCGTCTCGACGCACGGCAGGTAGGAGAATCCAAGTCGACGAACGCGATATTACTCAAGCCGTTGTGCCCCTTACATTTGTCGAGCGGGCCAAGTTGGCTTTCAAGAAGACGGTGACCAAGTTCACGCACAGGGGAGATCGCTCAGAGAGTGTGTCTTCACGCAAACGTGCCACGAGCAGCGCCGCCAGCTCATCGGCGGAAAGCCCCGCCGTCGGCATACCCACCCCTGGAGTGCGTGACGGGCGGCGCAAAAGCTTACGCCCCGACGATTATTTTTCCAACCTTTCGCAATACTCGACAGGGTCGCACCCGTTGACTCAGAGTGTCACCGCGAGCCCATCACACTCGCCACTTGGAGGCTCCCCGGCTTCAGCCGTGCCAGAGCCCTCGACTTCGGCCGTCAGCAAACATTCGACCACACGTCAACTACGCGAGTTTTTTAATCGAGAACGAGACGAGTTGCCCGATCGCACTTCCATGAAACCACGAGACCGTGGCCACGCCCGATCCGCTACCAACACTTTTTTACGCCTTACCCCCACGACAGGCTTCGTACCGAACCACTGTCAAACCGTACCACCTACTCCTCTCTATGGCATCGCACCCGAAGACCCCTGCAACGCTCTCAGGAAGACCCGGGACATGAAGCCTCCCGCTGATGATACCAGCCGAGCACGTTCCGTTGATCGGGGGTTTTTTGCTAGTGACGACAAACGGGCTGGACCTAGGGTCGCTCTTAGCACTGCTGTTGCACCCGGCAATGTTCAGATGCCTCAAAGACCACGTATCACGCATTCGATTGACCTTGCAAAGGTCTCGGAGCAGTCGGAGGAGCAGAGCCTGCCGCCCCCTACGCCTGGTACCAGCACTTTCCCCCACCACCACCACCACCACCAATCTGAAAGCCACATTGTCGACCGACAACGTCCGATGGTTGAACTCGATGAACGCCCACAGACAGCACACCGGATTGAGGACTTCATCAGCGCGGCTCTGAACAAGCAGCTTCCCCTAGCGCAAGACCCCGACAATCACACCTTAAGAGGAAACCACGAGTATAATGCCGCCGAACCCGCATCTGTTCCGTGCCCTCCTTCTCCCGGAGATAACATGTTCAGCAGGGCACAATCTCGCCAAGGCACGATCGTCTGGTCTAGCACTACATCCATGGGAGCTTTGACCTCCCCGCTAACTAGTCCTAGCGAGGCAGCGAGCCCGCGGTATAGCTCCAAGCAGAGTCTGACCAAAGACGCTGTGGAGCAGATCCTAGCCTTCCAGTCTGACCCTTCTCTTCCAGCTCTGCTCAGCAGCACCAGCTCTGTGTCCGCGGACCCAGAAGGCGAGTTCCTCGGCAACCCAGGAGTGGTCTGTCGGTCATCGTTGATCGACACAACTGACTCTCTTACACCTCCAGCTTTCTCAAAGGAGCCTGTGGCTGGTTTCCCGCTTGAAGAGCAGCAGGAGCAGGTTACACCAACGGCTGTGCCTGTTTGTGTGGCTGATAACAAGCCGGCTGTTAAGCACAACCCCATGTCTCATGTGCGGGCAAAGAGTCAATACTATCGCAGTCACCATGACGATGACGACAGCGATAGTGATGAAGGGCTGGTCATGGCTAGGCGGAAGAAGAGCCCAACAATCTCTTCTCCTTCACCTGCATTGACTTCCAAGGAGCCCATATCCATGGGAAGATTGGTCAATGGCACGAGGCGTCGGGACACCAATGCTAGCGTGGGAAGCACAGATACTGCCAAGAAGCTCGTTGTGGAGAGCGACTGAGCTTTGTTACTTTAGTGCAGCTGTGCCAGAATGCAGTGGTTTATTTTTTCTGGCTTTTGTTGCTATTCTTCTTTCTTCTTCTTCGTCTATATTTTACTTCTTTTTTTTTACATCATCATCATTACCATCACCAGCAGTAAAGGAGACGTTAGCATGGGAACAGCACGGCAAGGGCAAAGGGAACAGCATCAACTCGCGGTTTTACTTTATTAGCATGGAGGAGCAAAGCATTGTATGAATTGTTTACATCATGATCCCATCCCGCTTGAGGGGGAGAAGGCATTGGTTACTGGTCAGAGTTACGGAGGCGGGAGGAAAGCGACCAGAATAACCTTATTTTGTGCAAATACCGACTACGAAGAGAACATTCAAGTATAGATGGGGCCTTTCCAATCAGAGGCCTTTTTGCACACGCACACACACGCATCGTCTTGTCTTTTTTTAACCCTCGTCTGGGGTAACGAACGTATCATCATCACGTAGGGGCAGAGGCTTTTCGTCAGTAGGGGATCTTAGCTTGAGGGTGGCACCTCTGCTATGTTCATTGCATTTCAGCGATGGTTTCATGACAGATAGGGGTTGGCAACCCTTTCAATTCACATCAGCGCTGCAGTTACAGGAGAGAGAGGTTGGCATCTCTTCTTCGTTGGTTACCTACAGTTCAAGTCAGGGTTTGGCACCTCTGGTCATTGCATTACACTCATCTGTAGGTCAAAGCAGACACAAGCGGAAACGAAATTGCTCGACACCAGCGATGTGATACTCGTGACAGATGGTAATTAAACTTACAGAGGACACAGAGAACACGAAACGGCCATCACGAGGAAATGAAACAAATGATCGAAAACTGACCTGACAGAAGGTAAAATCTGATCTTGACCACGACATCAAACGACCCACACAGACACACACACACAAATGCAACAAGCAGGGCAAGGCAGGACAGGGCAGGCAGGACAGGGCAGGGCAGGGTAAAGCAGGACAAGAATGCGGGAAGGAACAAGACCAAGCCTTACGGGGCGCGCGTCTTTTGAAACGTATATTGATTGGTGTGGAATGGATCCGGTCAGGCGAGACCATTCAGGGTACGACCGTACATATATATGTACCGTTACGACAGGGAGGAATTTCAACAGCCGGACAACCGACCGACCGACCGACCGACCAGTCGATCGACACGTGGCGTGGCATCCATGGAATGTCACCATTTCCCACAATTTTTGAAATTGTTAATTTGTTTGGTCAGGCAGATATGGTATGGATATCAATGCAAGGGACGGATAACGACTAGAGAGACACATGTCACATTGGACATTGGACATTGGACATTGAAAACTGGACACAGGACACTGGACACTGGACGGACGAATCGGGTAGTGTATATAGGACGTTGGAAAAGGCTTATCGATGGGATCTGAAACGGCGATATTCGGAATAATGGGGAACAGGAGAACGGGGAACAGGACAACTCAGTTCTCAGTTGCTGTCTGGGCTGGGGTGGGATGGGCTGGGCTGCCTTTCTTCAGTGGCTCCCGTCTTTAGTGTAGGTTGATCGGGTAGCTGGGCTCCTTGCTGCCCCTGGGCTCCTTGCCGGGCTCGACGGGAGTTGCCCGGTTGGCTGGAGGGAATGATGTGGCTTGCTTATTCAAGATCACTGTGTGTACACTACACCACTCAGATCACCAGGCACTCAGATCGAAGGAGAGGGACACCGGAAATCAACCAAAGCACTAAAGGGCACTGAAGGGCACTGCAGCACTGCAGAACTGGCAGGAAGGAATGAAGCAAAGAAGGAAGGAAGAAGACCTGATACGTGCCGTACCGTATTTAGGTAGGTAATCAGGGCAACGAAGCAACCTACCCCTACACTGTACCGCAACGTGGAAACGATACCAACCTAAACTTAAACGGATGGATAGCAAAATGGCAGGTGTCAAGATCGTCACAGTCGTCGTACTCCAGGGCATTCATGATCCCCCACGTCGACGGGAGCCATCCAGCCAGTCATTTGAGTATGGTGAATCGCCGCCGTCCGTGGCTGCGGCCCGATGTATGTACTCGCTTCTGGATCAGGATCTGCATCTGGATCGGCATCTGGATTTAAAGCCAGGTGTTGTTTCATGTTTTGTTTCCCACTGCAGTGGGTGCGTGGTTGAGGGTTATGGTACAGGCCTGCTTCATGGGAGCTTGGCGGGCAGGTAGGCAGACAGGTAAAGAATAAGGGTTCAAGAACCTACCTATCAGAGGGAATTTCGAGACGTGTGGGATTTGGTAGGGAGTATCTAGCTAGGTAGTACGTAGGTAGTGTATGCTCGGGGTGGATAAATTGGAGCCTGCCTGAGTTGTTTTCAGTCTACGCCGGAGTCTGAGTCTGGATGTAGATGTCTGGATGTGATCACTTGGGAGGAAGTAACGAAATGGAACGAAATGGATAAATTGAAGAAAAAAGCAAAAAAAGGAATCTTTCAGTCAAGGTTTCATCTCGTGACACCGTTTCTCTTGTTCCTTTCGCTCAACACCATTACATCTCCAACTTTCTTCATTTTTTTCTCCTCCGTATATATCTGTATCTGTTACAGTTTTTATGTATTTACACCTTACTGGACTACTACTATAGTATGTACAGTTGTCGCTAGGCTACTCCTGCCTGTGTTGTTACATCGCTACGAGGCCTGGCCCGGCTCAGGTCTCCGTTATCTCCTCTTAACCCACCAGGCCATTAGTCTGAGAGGCCTGTTATCATGTTATCTTATCTGATCAGCGTTTCATCTAATTACCTAGTCCCTTAGCTTCTTGGCTTCTATTTGGGAAGGATGGGAAACAATGGGGGGGGGGGGGGGGGGGGGGTTCATTGCATTATAGATTGTTATCGTTATCGGTAGAGGTATTATGTCTTTATCATGAGGTATCGAAGTGGGCGAAGTGGGCGTATGGATACCTACCTACCTATTTCGGGAATCATGAAAGGGGAGGGAGGGTTGATGGTGGTTTAGCTGTCGATGCGGCTACTTCGCATCTTAGTCCTTTCTGTCTGTACTACATTACATAGGTAGCTTCCTGATATACATGATTGGAAGCCGAGGGGATGTCATGAAGATTCATACATGAAGTATCTGTAGACGTTCGTTCCGGTGTTGACCAACCGTAAAACAAGTAAAGTACCACAAGTACCAGCCAACCATCTATCCATCCACCTATTCATCATTCAGTTCTCTCCCTCTATATTATCACTTTGAGTTTTGACTCTTGACATGCCTCAGCTTTACATACAGTCAGCAAGCAACCCGATATCTACTAAATCAAGCAGAGCAGCAGAGCAGCAAAGCTGAGATGGCACTACCGTACCTCTACCTAGGTATCCTCCCCTTTCTCTTTTTGGACGGAGGTGCATGTTGATAAGGCGAGGCAAGGCAAGTGCAAGGTAAGACATAGGTACCTTTCTTACCTATATGTAGGCGATATGCGATGAGACGAAGATGCCGTAATTTGTAAGGGTTCAAAATAGATTCGGAATTTGGAACCAACTGATCTCGATCCATCGGGGTCTGTCGGTACCGGATCGGGCTGAATGGATGGACGGGCCACGACGTTGATAAGACCAAGATCGGGTTTCAGTATCTGGGGTGAAAGGGTTGACCGGTGAATCTGGTGATGTTGGTGTGGGATGTTTGTTGTACACTTGTAAATCTCGAGATTAAGTGCTTGTACATAAGCGGAACGGGGTCTCGATCTGATAACGGGGTTCGATACGAAGGTCTGATCTGAGTTGATCTCATTTAGGTTCACGGCATCTATATTCGTGAGTCAACAAGCCCTACGAATAACTTCATCCAGTTCCGCTGGAAGGTACCTCAGGCTAGGAACATTTCTTGAGTCGTGATAGACCATACAGGACGTTTCGGTACCCAAAAGAGTTTTTGACATCGGGACGTGACAGGGCGGGACGGGACGGGCTGATGTGAAAGTCAATCTATGTTGAGAAACCCCATCAACTCCATCGTCGGTCCCGAATCGTGGAAATGAGAATTCGGATCGGTGGTATGGACAATAGATGTTAACTTCACCACCGAAGTGCAAAAAGCATCCCCAAAAAGGGGGAAAAAATTATTGCAATGAAACCGGAAAGATACCGACATTTCGGGGTCTGATACATGGTATTCCACTTACACACAGTCAAGTTCACAGTCTTTAGCAAAACAATCTGATCTCCCCCAGTGAAGTTCTGGCGGAGAGTTCAGGCAGGAGGGTGAGTAAACAAACTCCCTTGTGTTCTTTGGGCGCGGTTCCTAAATTTTACACGATTACCATGTAAGTACCTACCTATCGAGCTGGGATTGTACCTATTCAAAGTAATACCCGCGAGCTTGACTCACTTACTATCATAGCGTAAGCAAGCTCTGCATAAATTAAAGTTCCAGCGTAAATGGGACGATATGGCAGCCAAAATGACCACTCGCAAAATCCCAAGTGTGAAAAGAAAAGCGGAAAGGAAAACTGCCCGGACGCATGCTCCATGTCCCTGCAGTGATTACTACCTGACCTTACCTGTCCCTGCGTTGTTTTAGTGTAGGAAGCTTGCGCAGGTCTACTAGTCTAGCAGCTTAATGAGGAAAGCGATGGAACGCGATGTGCAGTCGACGTGGCATTGATGAGGGCCACTCAGGTCCCTTCCTTCTTCGCAAGCACGCAAGCAAGCAAGTAAGCAAGGGGGGTTTCGTTCAAGCATTAAATGTTTCGTAACTTTGACAATCACAAGCTCGTTGATTGAGTAATGCGATTGATAATCTCTTGGGGCAGTCTGACTGGTTGACTCACGGTTCAGGGAAGGTTTCAGTAGGAAACTGCCATGGTAAGTGATAGCCGACCCGGACGGGCGGACGGACGGACGGACGGACGGAGAGACCGTTGATGCATCATATATAACTGGTGCCGGAGCCGAGCCGTACGAACCTCTGCCGTATACGGAACGGCGGTTGGCAGTATCTAAACGTAAGTATTAATCTGGCGATACTCGAAACCGGCCATTAACAAACCGACGGCAGCCGATAAGCGAGCTCCGGATTTGCGTGCGATAGGCATGCAGCAGAAGCAGAAGCAAAAGCCAAGTGAAGCGGTGAAGCCCGCATCCCTCGCATAGCATAGCATAGCATGGCATAGCATAGCATAGCATAGCATAGCATCGTCTATCCCTTTAACAGTGAAAATTTATCCTTTTTTGCCAAGACCAGCGATACCTGCAGTACTTAGTGACTTCCTTAATGTAGCTAAGCAATGCTAGTCACTCTGTCTATGCAATAGATCGCTAATATTAAAAGTGTCGTTTTTACTAATAAAATCAGCAATTTTGCATAGCATATTAAGGTAAAGAGATAGACTTACTAAACTATATAGGTAAATTCCAATATCGCTAAATCTTTTACTGTAGTATTAAAATTTTTAAGATCGATATTTTAAAATAAATATTTTACTAATTCTAAATTTATTACCCAATAAAGCGCCCGCCTAACTAGTATTAGCCCAACCGGTACTAACCTAGCCGGTATTAGCCTACCCTCCAACCTAACCGGTACTAACCTACCCTTTAACCTACCTTCTAATAAATATTAATTCTATAGATCATTTGCCCTTATATATCCTCCCTCTCCCTAATAAATTAGAATTAAATACTAATAATAATAAGGGTAATTTTATACCTAACTCTAAAAACGACTATAATAATAAGGATTGTAATAAAGAATACCCTAAGCCGCCCGGCAATAAGTTCCCAATTATCCCTAGGCCTAATCGATAGGATTAGTATTACATCTATCTATTAATAGGTAAATTTCCCAATAATATACCTAACAATTTAACCGCCGCCGTCGATTACAAACCTATTAAACTTCGGGTCGGCCTTATCGACTTTTGATATTTCCCCTTCAATACAGTCCGGAATAATAGTAACACATTTACACACTAAATTACTCATCCCCCTTCTATCGTTACTATATTATTAGCCTTCTATTAATACTTCCCTTCTTATATAATAGAATAATAGGTATAATAGACCAACCTTCGTAAAATCTTATTACTAGGTAAGAATAATCCTTATTTTCGCGAAATATATTAAATACCTACTTATACTATAGAATTATACATACTATTCGCTATTTTACTATATATTAATTTCTATATAAAAGCGAACCTTCCTTTATATTAGCAAGAAAAAGAGGGGCGCTCGAATTACCCAATTTATAATTAAATACTTTTTTTTTAATTCGAAATACTTTTAAAATACTTTTATATATAGGATCCTACTCAAAACGATCTTACTCTTTAGGATAGAATACATAATTTTAATAAATATATTTAAAGAATCTATTTTAAATTACGGACCCCGCTATAATACATTACTATTAATAAGAAGATAGTAAAATATACTAGTAGAAGTACAATAACAGTCCATATACCCAATAAATTAGTACTGCGGGGTATTAAAGTTTAAATTACTATAATTAGCAATTACTTTTTTAATTAAAGATAGTATAATAATACGGCTAGTATTATTAATTTAAATAAATATATATAATATCCCCTACTAAAATCTATTTAATAATTAATTAACTAAATATTATAATAATAGGGCGAATTAATACCGACTTAAATAGTAGTAGTAAAATTAATAATTGGATTACCCCGCCCACCTTACTAATCGGTTTATTACGTATTTACCAATAACTTTTTTACTACTTTCACTCTCGTACGCCACCTTCGTACTAAGAATATTATAATTACTAATATAATACGTTCTAACTATATAATACTATAATTCGCTAAATTTCGAAAAATCGATAATAAAAAAGAGAAAGTACCCTTTGGGGCGCTATATCGGACAGTATTAAATATACCGATTCCCAATTTTAAAAAGGGTAAATATCCTTTACTAAATAAAGATTAGGAGACCGGAATAATATACTTCTATATAAAAAATCGCTAAATAGTAAACTTTTTATTTATATAGTATATTAGGAATAAGGTACGTAAATATATTTACCGCCGCCGTCTAATGTATAAGGGAACTATAAAAAACCACTTTAGTAACGAGGGTTATAAAACGGTCTAAATACTACTAGTTATATAGGCATATAACAATTATATAAATAGAGTAAATATAGGTGACCAATTATACGCGTACAATACGTATAGCTATTGTTACTATTGTAGATTATTTATAATATTATTTATTAATTTCTATTTAAGTATATTACTTATATTAGATCTCTTAATAAATATTATACTAATAATATATTACTATTATTAAAAATCATCGCAGCTAACCTCTTTTTTAACTAGCGAGAGAAGCTATTTAATACTCCTTTTAACTAAAAGTAATAAATTATATATATAGACTTTCGAAATTAATTAATTAATAAAATTTAGGTATTCTATAGTAAATTCGCTACCTAATACCGTATTTTACCTTAATAATCCCTAATATTAAATACTAGGAGAATTACTATAAATAAATATATAAGAACGAAGTTTTTAAAATGAGCTAATTGTACGATATATTCGTTGGTTTGATATAGAGTTTTAACTGCTTTTAGAACTAATAGCTCCCCTACTAAATAAAATATACGAATTTTAATAAAGTTGGGGTGTAGTACGTATAATATTGCGATTTATAAGCGAGAGCGATGTTAGGAGGCCTATATTCGTTAATAATATTAGGAATAACCTTACTTAGCTTAAATTATATTAGTTAATTTAATCCCTAATCTCTCTACCTAGTTTGTAGTATCCCCTGCAATGTTAGAAAGTGTTGTATATGCTGGCAAAATCGATGTATCTGCATGGGCATAGATGTAAAGGTGGATTAATGGAGGCCAACCGATTGGCCACTTCCTGGCTTGGCAAAAAAGGATAAATTTTCACCGTTAAAGGGATATGTACGCCTGACGCCTGTACATCAATGAGGTCTGCTGCAGTTGTTAATGGCAAAAGACAGACAGACTGACAGACAGCTGAGAGAGAGTTCCAAGAAGCGAAACCGAGACCAAAAAAGCAGGAGAACAACAAGTTGACCCGGAAGAGGTGCCGGCCGGTAACGGAGAACAAAGGTACCGAAATGTACCTCTACATAAACACGGAGCTCGTTACGGGAGTTACATACGGGAATTACTTACCAACCGTACGGGACTTCGGTTACTTCGTTACGACGAGGGAAGCCGTCATGCACATCCCGGTCAGGGTTTGGAGCCCCCGGTAGGTCCCGAACGGGAATAAACAATGGTGGTGGGCGGACACGACATCGTAAGCATCGTGGAACCCGGACGGTAAAAAAAAAAGAACAGGGTTAGGGTCTCCGGAGGGAGTGGGGCCTGGAACGGGAACGGGGCTGGCTTCGGGTCAGCAACCACGTTGTGCGGGAGACGGACGGGAGTGGATCATGGTCAGTGCGTTTGGCCGTCATCGACCGTGATAACGACCGTGTGGATGACCGACGAGTGATCGCCAAGACGGTGCTTTGCGGCATCTCCACTTTATTGCTACCGAGAGGGAACTGACGACACCAAGACCAGACCGTCGTCACCACTCACTGCACTCACAACAACTTGTTCTAGTCACTCATCCATCCATCCACCACACCAAAACTTCACGCCCAACTGCCAACACCCACTTCCCCAGGCCAACTCTCCAAACGCGAGATGCGCTCCCTCCTACACAAACAAGCCCTCATAACCGGCGGCGGCTCCGGCATCGGTCTCGCCATCGCCCGCCGTCTCTACCTCGAAGGCTGCTCCGTGACTCTCTTGGGGAGGACCGAATCCACCCTTCAGCGCGCTCAATCATACATTTTATCTTACCCATCCCGACCTTCCCACCCACCACCATCACCCACCTCAGCCTCGGCAGTCCCAAATGATTCCTCAGTCTCAGCATCAAGCCCAGCTTCAGCCTCAGCCCCATCCCACCAACCATCAGACACAAAGAGGGTATCCTACCACCCCCTAAACGTCACTAGCGCTTCATCCTGGGAGGACCTATTGCAGAGTAATTTAAAAGGGGGGAGGATAGACATCCTCATCAACTGCGCAGGCATCACGCAGCGGAGTCCGCTAATGAAGACTCCTGTCGAGGAAGTAGAAGGGTTGTTGGATACGAATTTGCGAGGGACTGTGTTGGGGTGTAAGTTTGTGGGGAGGGCGATGCTTAGGAATCGGAGTAGCTCTGGTACCTCTAAGGGGGAGCAGACCAAGAGGACAAAGGACAAGGGACGCAAGAAGGGGTAAAAGAAGGGGTACAAGAAAGGGGAGTAATCATCAACGTGGCGAGTCTACTTGCGCAAAAGGGGGTGATTGGGACGAGTGTCTATGCGGCTGCGAAGGCGGGGGTTGTTGGTAAGTTTTGTTATTTCTCTTTCTCCTTGATATCATGTTGTGTTTGGTTGGTGGTTGGGGCAAGTAAGAAGGATACGGGAAAAAATACAGGATTCAAGAGGGAGGGAGTTGAAAGGAACGGACAGGTACGGCCATGGATTGATGAGAAGGCCAAGGGCGAGGAACGGTGTATGGATTAAGAGGGTGGATGGGTAGACATTAAAAGGCAGGAGGGAAGAGCAAGGGGAGGGACATAACATCTGGGAATCAAAGCGATAGGGACCACGAAAAAGGCTGAGCACACTGGCTAACACAAACGACACCAAACAGGCTTAACAGCCTCCCTGGCACACGAGTACGGCAGATCCGGGATAAGAGTCAACGCCGTTCTGCCCGGGTACATCGAGACAGACATGACTACCGGTGAGTCCATCTTCTTTCTTATTTTTCTTTTTTTTTTTTTTTTTTCCCCTTTTTTGCTCTTATCGTCCAGTAATACCCATTCCATTCGTCCGTCGAGCGTGATAATGGACCGAGCAATCACCATGATGATCTTGCACAGACACTTTTTGGAATCTTTCAACTTGGGCTGTCGGTCTTTCTGTCTGAAATGTTGAATACACCTGGGAGATGCGCTCTGTGGTGAGAATGGCAGACCATCCTTAGATCCATTTCCAGCCGGACACGAAAAACAACAGGAGAGGCCTTCAATCCGTTCACGGAATACACGCCGATCCATCCTCCATTAGTTCAAAATCCTACAAGAAACAGTAGAACCAACAGTGAGATCGAAGAACAAATCCTCATCATCAACCAGAAGTCTTCTAAACAAGAATATACACAATCATCATCGTTTATGCCCCTTGATCTTCAATCCATTTTGTTCCCTATTTAGTCCCTTACGCCCAGCTAGAATGGAAAATCGCAAATGTCTCAAGGAGCTTAGATCATCTCATCTGACTACCTAGTCCTTCAAGATCATCGCACCTGAATACCCGACTGACATTTCTTCATCTCGTCTAGGTCTCAAAAACCCTTCCATCCTCCAACAAATTCCCCTAGGCCGCTTCGGAACAACAGATGAAGTCGCCGACGCCGCCCTCTTCCTTATCAAGAACCCGTATGCAAACAACTGCGTACTGAATCTTGATGGGGGGTTAAGTGCTGTCTGAAACGACACACCGCTTCCCGTGGGTATCTGTGGCTAGTATAGCAAGAATAGCAAGCCATGTGGTAATCATAGTATATACCGACCATAACTACGGCCTACGATAGCAATAATGAACCGCGCGCAAGACACGGCAAAGGGGTGATGGACGATCAGTCATCATCAATAACGATAGCTCCCGCACTATCCTCGATAAAGACGATATCGTCATCCGCCGCCTTGTCGTTGGCCTTGATCTTCTTGACCGATGGACCCTCTGCGTCTTCGGGGTGACCACGCTTGAGAGTCTTGGCTGGTGTCGTCATTGGCTCATCGCCATCGAGGTTGATGACTCCTCCATTCTGGCCGTTGGATGTGCTGGCTCCGTTGGTGGCAGCTGTCGGCGTGGCCACTGGCTCAGGCTGCGGCTGCTTCTTGGGCTTGAGTGGAATCTTGACGTCCTCTGGGTCGAGAATGCCCTTGACTGGCTTGTCACCTAGAGGCTCCTTGCTTTGAGGGTGTTAGTTACGAACATGGGAGAGAAAATGGGGACGTACGCTTCTTGGATGGCAATGACGACGTTGACGAAAGGCTCCTCATCGTCTTCGTCGGTGATGGTCAAGAATGAGTCGGATTTGATGCCTGGACGATGTTAGCAACTTCCATTGTGGTATGAGTAGCAAAAGAACATACCCAGCTCCGAAAGCTTCTTGTCCAAATTATCCGTCTCATCAGGGTCGTACAGAATGCCGACCTCATTACTAATAGCGAAATCCTTCTCGCCATACCCCAGATTCGTCTTGATCAAGTGTTCTACCAAATCGTTCAACGTCGCCTTCTCCAAATCGACATACGCCCTCGTCTGGTAGACACCGCAGACCGGACAATCAGGATTAGGCTCCCGTGACTTGTCGGACGCCAACATACGTGCATTAGCAAATGGCGTAAGGAAAACTTCCTTGGCCTGCTCGTAGTGGCCCTTTAAGACCTTGAATGCCTCCAGCACGCAAAGACCAGCGACGATGGCGTTCGTTGTCGCAATGGCAGGGATAATGTTGCCGGCCATCTGCTTAATGTCGAACTTTGACTTTCTGTCAATACCGAACACCGCTGAGCGGATGTTGGCGCTCGCGGCGACAAAGTCCAGGGTATCCTCATCGTCTTTGTCAAAGGTGATGATGGACTCTTCGCCGGCGCTCTTGCTCTCCAGAACCCTCTTGCTAAGTCGCTCGAGACTGTCATTGAAGACGACGAGATTCTCTTCCAGCGACCACACTTTCTGCGCGTCTTTGAGCACCTTCTCCTTGTCGAGCGACTTGGCCTTATCGAGAAGTTCCTGGTAGTTGAGTGGCTCAGGCGGCTTGCGCGTCTTCCACATGTCCTCCATTGAGCGCAGACGCTCAATATCCGTCTTGAACACCTTTTCAAAAAGCATCTGCGCGAACTCTTCTGTACCCACGGAATTCCTGATCTTTCGTAGCGCCGCCGACTCGCGTTTGAGCTCTTCAATCTCCTGCGCATTATCGCCATCAACAGTATGATCGAAAGCGGACTCGTCTTCGCTCGCTCCGAAGATTTCGTTGAGTAGGTAGCTCTTGCCCCACACTATACAGTGAATAGGCTGGCTCGGTGTACTGCGAATCGTGCATACGGGGAATGACTTTGGCGTCTCCTTGGGCGCGCAATCGTAGCAGGCTGTGACACCCTTTTTGATGACTTGTACCTGGCCGTTGAAGCCAGTTGTTCCACTTTCGATGAGGGGGACGTCGGCGGCAAGACACATCTTGTTGACATGGCGACGGGCTTCGAGGTTGTCGAGAGCGTTGAAGACTATCCGGAAACTGCTCAACCACTCGATGTTGAACTGCGCGTCTTTGATGTTCGCATGGTGGGCGACAATCTTGACAGCGGGGTTAAACTTTTGCGCAGCCTCCTTAGCTACTAGAGCTTTGGACTTTTTGATATGTTCGTGACGAAAGAGAAACTGGCGGTTGAGGTTCGAGAGATCGATGGTGTCGAGATCGACGACGTGGACTTCACCGAAGCCGGTAAGGACGAGGTTCTTGAGGAGTTCGCAGCCGATGCCGCCGGCGCCTACCATAAGCACGCGCGCCTGTGAGGTGGCAGTTAGCAGAGTCTCGGGGGTTTCTGCGGGAGCTACCGCGAGAACCGCTTCGGCAGTCAACTTGGAAGCCATGATGGTGGTTGGCGCGACGAAGGCAGGAAGGAAGCGTAGATTTGGAATTGGAGGGGCGTTCGGAATGAAATCCTATAGCAACCCGAGCGATGCCAGTTGCGACAGCATTTGAAGCCTTCACTTGTTGCCGAGGAGACGACTTGGGATGAAAGCGACGGAAAGGTTCAACATGTCCCGTCATGGAAGGCACGTACCTGCTTGACATTTGCATTCAAAGACCGCCCTAATGATTGCGAATTGTAGCTGTCCCGCGTCAACACCGGCAAGGGAATGGGCTGGGCAACTGGTCCTGGTATTTGCGCCGTCATGGGGACCATGGGATTGCCCATTGTGGGATCCATTGCGAGAATTGTGAGGAGGCTTGCGCCCGAGTAGCAAGAGGTGCGACCAGGCTTGAAGGTGTGGTTCGGGGTGTATTATTTCACGTTGAGCGGGCGATTACGGTTTACCCAGGGCAATCTGATGTCCAAGGGCAGAAAGAGGTGAAGAAAACTGAAGCTGAGATGGAAACAAGCTCAGCCTCGTGGATGCAAAGTCGGGCAGTTGAAAAGTTGCAACCACCAGGCGCTGAATCGGCGACAAGCAGGTCAAGACTTCAGCACTTGCTGGTAGCGCGTCATAACTCCAGCGACACGCTAAAAACGATTCCGGGGTTGGCTTGGACGATCCGTCGACCGGCAGGCACACGGCAAGTGCCGGGTCTTATTGGTCGCCCTGCTGCAAGCTGCAACCACTTTGGTTTTTGTGTTGCGGTGGGGGGTCCACCCATACATAACCCTGAGCAACTCAAAAGAGGAACAGGATGCAGACAAGGAAAGATTGGTTGATCTGAATGGTTGGAGAGAATGGAAAAATGACACAGTAGGGTGAGCAAGACGGAATCTAGGATATCGTATCTCTCACCGTAAAATTGACCGTTTGTTTTCCCTCGAGCTTAGGATATCGTATTCTAGAAACCAGTCAACCCATCTCAGGGTTAACCTTGCCCAACAGTCAGTGCCAAACTCACAAAATGCAACCTTTCCGTTTTCCCAGACCTCTTCAACCCTTTTCTTCAAAATCCCAACACATCACTCGTTTCTTCTCAGTCCCTCTATTATTTTTCCACTCTCCCCCAATTCCCTACACATCCCATCTCATCCACACCACCACCACCACCCCCACCCAAAAAATGTCCTACTCCTCGGACGAAGACCAACCCGATCCCGAGCTCCTCGAGCTCCTGCGTCAACACCTCAACGGCAAACAAGCCTCCCACACCGCCGCCGAGACAGGCGTTTTGGAGTCTGCCGAGTTCGTCTACAACCACGCCATCGACGTGGCCCTGGACATGCGCGGGTGCAAAAAGGCCGCCAACACCATCTGGGACCAGATGCAGCAGCGGGAGTACTCGCCCGCCACTTGGTCGACGCACGAGCTCCACCCCAAGGACAAAAACGAGGAGACGGTCCAGTTCATCTTTACCATGGATCTGCTCAACTTTTCGTTTTGGAGCGAGAAGAGCGAGGAAGACCGGTTCCAGGTGGAGTATAGAGGACAGAGGTGGACGGGGTACTGGAGTTTGGTGGCGGCGTTGCAGAGGGGGTTAGAGGAAGGTTGGTCTTTCTTGTTCTTGAAGTTTTTGCTACTGAGGAAGATGACGATGATGATGATGTCGGCGTTGTATCATAGCTATGTAACAAAAAATACAAAAGAACCTTCATTGACACCGGCATGCTTTTTTCTCGTCCAGGAATCCCCATCACCGATCCCGCATTCTGGATCAATGACGAAAAATTCACCCCAGACGTCCTCCGCACCGTCTTCCGGTCCGCCACAGACGAGGAGATCCCCCTCCTACAAGAACGATTCGACTGTCTCCGTGAAGCCGGCCAAGTCCTCCACGAGAAATACGATGGGTCTGTCCTGGACCTCATCGAAGAAGCGAACGGCTCAGCCGCAGCCCTCGTCAACCTCCTCGCTTCCGATTTCCCTTGCTTCGCTGACATCCACCCCTACCCCGGCCGGCGCCAACCCATCCGTATCCTTAAGCGCGCACAAATCTTTGTCGCTGACCTGTGGGCCTGTTTCGAAGGCCAATCTTATGGATCCTTTGCGGACATTGACAAAATCACCATGTTTGCCGACTACCGCGTTCCGCAAATGCTGTGGCAGCTCGGCTGCCTCTTGTACGGTCCTACGCTGGAGGCGGCGGTGCGCGAGAAGAAGATGATTGAGCATGGTGGCGAGTGGGAGATGCAGTTGAGGGCCTGCAGTATCTGGTGCGTGGAGCTGATTAGACGGGAGATCATCAGGGAGCATCCGGAGGCGAAAGGAAAAGTGAATGCGGTCTTGATTGATTTCTTTTTGTATGATGCTGTCAAGGAGTTGGAGAAGGAGGGCGGGGAGAGGATTCCGCATCATAGGACGAGGAGTATTTGGTATTAGATGAAGGATGGGGTAGGACTAGACTGGATATAGTACGGCAGGAAGGGGATAGCATGTACCTAGGGAACACACAGAGAACAATCAAGGACGGGAATCCGAGGGGGAAAACTCAAATCGCGAAGAGAAAGAAAAGATAGATCAGACAGGACGAGGACGCATACACCTAGATTTCTTTCAGAATATCGATCCTAGAGAAAAGACAAGCTATAGAGTACTTGACACATCGATGATACGAGTCGAAATCCGACCCAAATCCCATTTCCCATGTTACTTCATGTTCATACCCAAAGTAGATCTTCCGCAAACCAAATTCCCCATGAACGCCTCGCCAACCCAGCTAAAACTGTGTGTACTGTGACTCGTATCCCAACCCATCCCAATCCATACCTGTAGGATCCTGCGCTTGATGAACTTCCAGACTGGCCTTCAAATGCCGAAGGAGACCTTGTGATCAAGGACCAGTAGAAACGCTGTTCATCAACTCATCCATATGCGCTCTTTCACTAGCCTTATTTTCGCCCTCTCCCTCCTTCAACAAGATCGCCAATACCTCCAGAGGAGGGTTAAGTCCCAGTTTCTCTGCCCTCTGCCAGCGCTTGAGACGAGTAATTCCAATGCAAGGCTACATATCCAGTCAGCTTTGTCCCCATCCACTTCCCAAGTCACAAAACAGTAGAGAGAGGTTGACACTTACACCATAATGACTACTAACATCAAAATACCTAAGAACCTTCTCCCCTGTCGTCAAGTCCTGCGTATGCTTCTTGTGCACAGTCGACGCCATGCGCGCCGAGTCGATCTTGTTCCAATAAGCATCAATGGCAGATTGCGGGATCTCAAGGGCGCAGAGTTCGATTTCGCTTCTCTTTGGTCCATCCTCTTTCTCCTGCTTCTTGGGTTCCTCCTGCCTGGTTTCTTCCTTGACGTGCTTAGTCGCGGCTTTCTTTGCAGGCTTCTTCACCTTGGCATGTGGCTGCTTCTTCTTCTTCTCGTGCTCCTCCTCCTCTTCCGACTCGCTAGGCTCGGGTTCTTTGATGGCTCCCTCTTCGACCTTGATGTCCTTGGTCTTGGTCTTGGTTGCGGTCTCAGGTGCTTCCTCCTCTTTGATGAGGTCTTTGCCTGTTTTGACGGTCGGCTTGGTGACGCGGTGGTGGAAGGAGAGCGTCTGCTGTTTGCCTTGGGCAGCAGCAGCGGCGGCGCCACCACGAGAGCGAGTTGATTTGCGTGTGACTGGCATTTTATATGAAGTCCTGGCGGTTGAATGGTCTTGTTATGCTTGTGCTGAGTTGTGCTTGCCTTTGGAGGTGTCGTTGACGCGAAGGTTCCGTGTTTTGAGTGCTGCAGAAACGGATGACGTCAGGTGGGTGGAGTTCGAAATTGAGAAAGTGAGTTGGTGATATTGAAGTAAGTATTCGGATGAGTGTGTTTTGACAACTGTATCAGTTCGAAATGAAGATGGTGAAGATATCCCAACTGATCAATACGTGAAAAGGACAAGCAAAAGGTTGTTGTTCACGCGACAAAGAGCAAGACGCCGAGACGTCAGGTGCACGTACCTCTCTCTTCGTAGGCATGCAGACGGGCAACGCAGGGTACACTTTTAGTGGACCATGGCAGTGCTGGCGGGCCAACCCAGAGGCGCGACAGATGCGCCAGGTCACGTGTCCTGGTCAAGGGCTGCCTGATTCAAGTGGCGCCGCAACATCTTGGGTCACTAGCAGGATTTGCGTGGTGCCACTGACGGAAATGTTAGCGCTCGTCCATTTGTTCAATCATACCTTGACTTTTTTTTTTTTTTTTTTTTCCAAAAAGATTTCTCGAGCAGAGACGGACCCCGGCACCACTTTCGCCATCTACCTTTCTTCCTACAATTGACCAGTATATCCTTGCTTACTTGGCGCCGGTACGTTTCTCATCCCACTCATTTCAGTCTCGGTCAGCATCCTTCATGCAAAAGTTTCTGTTTTGGTCAGGTCACGCAACTAACCAACTCGTTAGCGAGCATCACCTCTTACACGCGATATCCGAATAGTCAGTTTACCACGCCAACCAACTCGTCAGATTTTGAGTGCGAAATTTCAGTCAATCCACCCAAAGTTCACTCAGTCTTGTCAACAGACCTTCTCGACCTCAACTTCACTGGCGATATAGGACCTTCCACCACCTCCATCCCGAATCAGCCACCTAGTCACCCCAAATCGACCTGTCCACTCTCTCTCACCATCCCCCTCACAACCCCTTCATCCACCTTTGATCCCCCTCTATCCCCCTCACAGTCTTCCTCACAGTCCACCCTCCCATAACCGCCAAAATGCCCGGCCCCCGCTCCACCTCCCACATAAAACAATACACCCCCACCCAATTCTCCGCCGCCATCGCCGCCGTCTCTTCCGGGAGTCTGTCCATCCGCAAAGCCGCCCAAGCGCACTCCATCCCTTTTTCGACTTTGCAGCGCCACTTCCAAGGGACTCCCCAAGCCAAGCGCTCCTACGAGGCCTCCTCGCGGGAGATGCAAAAGCTCACGCCCGAACAAGAGGAGAATATTGCCATGTGGGTGCTTGCGCAGGAGAATTTGGGACTGCCGGTGAAGATGGAGGATATTCGACGGTTTGCTGATCGAGTTTTGGAGGTGGGGTTGAAAGAGGGACAGGCGCAGGGGCAGGGGATGATTCAGAAGAGGGGGGCAGGGGGAAGTGGGGGTGGGAGGAGGAAAGTGGTTGGGAAGGATGGAAAAGAAGGGAAGGATGGCAAGGATGGTAAGGATGCTAAGGATGGAAAGGACGGTCAAGAGGCAGAGGGACAGCAGCAGGGAGAGGAGGAAGAAAGATCAACAACCACCTCCACCGTAACGGTAGGAAAACACTGGGGACCCAAGTTCATGCAACGCCATCCGCAGCTCAAAGCAGCGAGAGAAGCAAGGAGGAAGGAGTTGAAGAAGGGGTTGAGGGGGAAGCAGGCTGCTGCTACTACCACCACTACTACCACTACTGCTGCCGCTGTCGTCAACACCCCCACGCCAGCCGCCGCCGCTACGAACGGTCATCAAATTGGACTGCCGCAGACTCCCACTCCTGCTGTTAGTGGTGGTGGTCAAAGACAACGGAACGGTCCTCAGAAGAAGAACAACGGCCAGCTACAGCAGCAGCAGCAACAGCAACAGCAACAGGATGACGAAGATGTCGATCCAGAACTGATGGACCAAGATCAAGATCAAACTGTCGTCATGGAAGAGGTCGGCCAAGATGATGGGGATATGGAGGACGACGACGACAACGAAGAAGACCAAAATGATACTGTCCACGTCAAGGACGAACTTGAAGAAGAAGAGTACTACGAAGACGAGCAAACGCCTGATCAGCAGCTGTTGATGGATTCGCAGCGGTATTCGAGGTTCGCGACGACCAACGGAAGTCATTAGCCCGGCGGGGTTCGAACGTTCATCGTTGGGGAAAACAACAAACAGACTGAGAGACTGGACTGGACGAAGGCGACTGGAGCGGCCGGAGGAGATTTTGATGGGCCTATGGTAGAGGATACAGGTCTAACGGACTCGGAGGGACGTTTGAGAAGGAGCTCGGAATATCTGGTTAGGAAAACAAAAAAAAAAAAAAAAAAAAAAAAAAAAAAAAAAAAAAAAAAACAATGGGGAAAATGGGACAAGAAAAAAGGGAAAAGGAACCGGTCTTCACGATGTCATGGCTTGTATGAATTACCTACCTACCACTTACAAAAGTTTATCATGTGTTTTACTTTGCTATTGCTACACTGGCTCACTGCACTATGGCTTGTTGGGGAAACAATGTGTTACGGTATATCTTCCTTTTCGTCTCTTATCTAAAAGCATCGTTTGTGTTCTTGGTTGACCAAGCTCACTTGCTTCTTCATACGCTCAAGAGAGGTGCTCATGGTGGTCGGGAGACCTGACTTGGACATCAATTCTCCTTTGCCCCATTCAACGCCAATACCCGACAGACAGACATGAATGATGCTATGATGGGAGTGGAGGCTCATTGGTCATCCGTGATCGGATCAGATTCCCACGTCGCAGAGGAGGGCTCTGGGAATGTCTTGATTCAGTGGAAAGAAAGCTAAGCTTAGTGGGCGGGGAGGTTCACATGAGAAGTAGAAGGGAAAGATGCGTGTGGTAGGTGTGCATAGAATCTGTCGGAACAAACGTGAAATTCGCATTGAATCGAACAAATGAGAATTCAAAATAATGAGAAAAAAAAGATCAAGTTGAAGCTAGTTCTGGCTCTGCAAGCACGCATGACGTGGACTATCTCATCTTCCCACTTGGCGGAGGTGTGTGTCGATTATTGCGAACTCCCCGTCCAGTCGCAATGTCGACATTGAGCAATCCACATTGACTTCATCACAACCACTTGCTTTACATTCGTTGTTCACCCTTGGTTGTGGAAAACATGGCTAACTTCAAGTAGGAACTGAAAAGCTCCCGTTCCTACCATCAAATTCTGGCTTTATTTATTGAGCATCGAATGCATAATGATGTCCCTTCATATCCTGCCACCTCACGAAAGGACACAGCAAAAAGTATTTTGTAAGATGTTGATTAAGCATCTATCCTTAACTTATTTTTCATCCGGCTACCGTTATCCAGTAAGCCAGGATGGAAAAAATGTTCATACATCAATCATTAAGTAACCCGTCCTTCCATCATCCATCATTTCATTCCCAAGATTAAATCCACCACAATGGTATCATCTCCAGGCGTAACAGTGTAGAAAAAAGCAGAAACCAGCCCCCCCGAATCTTACATATGTGCAAGAGCATCTGCCAGACCGACTCCTTTCTTTTTCAGGTCATTAAGATTTGGCGCCATTCATCACATCATTAGTTTAAAAAAACCCATCATTCCAAATCGTGTCAGTCAAATAGGTCCGCTCAATAGAGGAAAAATTTGCTGAATGTGGTGCTTAAAGAAGCATGGCGGCGAAACCAGCGGCGGCGAGGACACCGGCGATGGGAGCGGCGGTCTGGTGAGGAGCCTAAAGGTTGTTTGTTAGCATCTTGGTCGAAAGAATATAGAAAGTGGAAAAAAAAAAACTTACAGCGCCAGGGCTGGAAGTGCTGCTAGCCTGGCTCTGGAGGGCAGAGCTGAGGGCAGAGCCGGTGAGGGACGAGGTCATAGTGGTGCTAAAGGTGGTCTCAACGGTGGTGCTGTCAGAGGTGACAGTGGAGACAACCTCGCTGGTGACGGTGGTCTGGGGAACCGAGGTAGCGCCAGCAACACCAGAGATGCCAGAGATGGTGGTGGTGCCGGTGGTGGTACCGGTGGAGTCGCCACTGGTCCAGGTCGAGGTGAACTCGCTGGTGGTGATGGCGGTAGCGGCGCCGCCGGCACCGGCGCCGTCAGAGGAAGCGTCGGAAGTGACGGTGCTGGAGGGGATAGTGCTGACGCCGGAGGTCACGGTGGTAGTGGTAGTGGGCACACCGGGGATGGAGCCACCAGCGCCAGGACCCTATGTGGTTGTTAGTGATGGCCTGCGTCTCAGTCATGAAATGCGTAAACTTACAGCAGCGGCGGGGAAAAGGTTGAGGTCGACTCCGGCATCGGCGCACCACTTCTTGGCCCAGTTGATGGTGGTGTCGGCGTCGCTCTCAGAGCAGACAGCGATGGAGCAGTCGCGAACACCGTAGCCGAAGTCGACGTGCTGGCACAAGCAAGAAGCATCATCACGGGCGCAAGGGAACTCGGAGCCAGCCTTGTCAAGCATGTTGTTGCCGCAGAGGGTCTAAAGGGTGGGGGTGTCAGTACATGGTTTTGTTTTGGCCCATGGCATCTCCAGTGTTCATCATGAGGCTCTACTTACACCGCAGCTGGGGAAGTTGTCGGGGAACTGGGCGCTGACGGCAAGAGCGCCGGTGAGAGCGAGAATAGCAGAGGTCTTCATTTTGATGGATGTAAAGATGTTGGTGTGGTGGTTGAGTGTGTGGTTGTAGGCGGCGGCGGCGACCAGGTCCGAGATGGATTATTGCTGAAGGTGAGTGCGGAAGGAGGAAGAGACAAGAAGTCGCGGTCCAAGTAGGTTTTGTTTGGTGGGAGCAAGTGAAGGCGAGCTGATTTGAGGGCAGAGGGCGGTCGGGTGGTGCAAATTAAATGTTGTCTGAGTCCTTCGAAGTGAGACAAACGCGGGAATTGCCAAGGCTGGATGAGATGGAAGATGGAAAGGACTCGACTGGGTGTAGCACCTCGTGCCTTCCTGTTTATATCAATTTCACTTACACAGACAGACAGGCAGGGCAGTGACGACTGACGGAACGGGCCAGCCACAACAGGAAGGAAACAACAAACCAGGCGTGTTTTTTCGTCCGTCTGGAGCCCCATGTCGGACTCCAACTCCACGGGCACCCAGGTCGACCAGGTTCCTTGTTGCTTGTTCTCGGCTGTCCCACCAAACAAAAAGTGGAGTCTGATCTTGGTGATGTCTCTCCATCAGAGAACTTGTCCAGATGCGACCAGGGTGCTACGACGTCGGTCGTCCACCGGGAAGCCGGGCACCCAGGTTTGTTTCCACTTGGTATGTACATCCCATAGGACTGGGGGTTAGTGTCGACCATGAACAGCACTCTCCACAAGTCAGATCCTTCTTTGTTGGGACCCTTTGGATTTTCGCTGCTCAGATCCATTTCATCGCCCAGTACGGAAAAGAAAGGCAGAAATGATGCCCGATAGCATCATTGACAGCTGCCGCATCCGAACTCACCGACCAGCTACGCAGTAGGTACCAGCTATCACCTCTTGGCCTTCAACACCATCAAGAACGAGCCATGTACACTACGTATGTAATATGGTGTGGTGGGTAGGTAGGAAACAAATTCAATGGGTGGGCCATGTCGCTGATGACCTTTCAGAGCCACGAAGCTAGGTTGGGAAGTACTGGTCCCTGCCCGGTCGGTACCTGACAGGGAGGTAAGACCTTTCTTTGGTTCGCAACCGCAATACATAGACTAGATTCGGTGTGCATCTCCGTGGCAACCACTAGCAGTCGTTCTAGTACAGTTAACAAATGGCATGGCCGGTGATAAGGTGACCGAGTGACGTTGCTTGCAGGGCACCAGGTCAGGGTCAGGTCGTCCCAGGGCAGGCTGCCAAGGCCAGGGCGAGCTATTCCATGTTGCAAGGAACTGAAAGGGTGAAAAAGAAAAAAAGAAAAAGCAAGCCACATTATGCACTGCAACTGGAAGCTTAACTAACTGGCAGGTACACAGCTTGTAGGCCTCTCCCTGCCACCATACGCGGTGTGAACTTTTTTTGTTTTTTCGTTTTCTGGATTATGGCTGAAGCGGTAAAGTGTTGTTGTGCCTGGGGATCCAAAAAAGGGATGTCATCAACATCTTGGTTACTGTTCCTGGACTTTGATGTTGACGTTGCAGAGTCGTAAAAAGCTGGGTATGTTGGGATGTCATGTCATGGCACACGTCTTCGCGGTTGACCACTCATCGATCAACCATCTCTTGGCAGGCAATTGGGAGATGGGGAGATGAGCAACAAGCTGTTCCGAGAACCCGAGCAGAGCAAGGTCGTTCCCGTGTTTCAAAAACCGGCCATTTGCCGTGGTACGCAGCGGGTTGGTGAAATTCTGGACATTAAACCTGCCACCAGACTGCTGTGGCCCTTCTCACTGGCTGCTGGATGGAAGCGTGGAAGCAAGTAGAGAAGAGGGTCCTGAGATTCTGTGAAGCCTGTGACGGAAGAGGCTGGGTTTCCTGGCGGCCAAGCCCAGATTGCCAAAGGCCGCTGCCCGATCGTACGGTCCTTGCGTAAGCCAATGTAGTGTACATGGTGTACATTGTAGTCTATCAAGTCATTCATTCGGCAGCTCAGATCCCGACGACGTGGTTGAAGGTTTTTTTTTTCATTTTTTTTTCTTCAATGATGATGATCGCTTGAAAGCTGGGAATTGCTTCTTGGGGGTTCCAGTCGGGGAAAGTGCGGTGTTTGTCAATAAGGTTTGCATCGATGATGTTTCTCTGTGGAGAGTCCCCGGTCTCTAGTGTACACTAGCCACATGCTGGGCAGGAATATGGCAGGAGTTGATTGGCCAATTTGTCGAAGTTTATCTCAAACCATGGTCTTGAACCCTGGAGCAGCTGGATGCTCATCGTCGCTTGTCGTCGGTCGCTTGGCGTGCGGGCAGAGTGGATCGCTGGATACGTACAGTGGGTTTTGTGCGAATTCCCATTCCAGCCCGTCTCCATTCCATCTCCCCCCACTTGACCACGAGCCAAAAGTCCCGGAGGGCTGGTTAGGTAGGTTGTTTCTTTGCGATGGTTTCGAGGCTGTTTCAAAGGAGTAGAGGTTGTTCCATACACGTGCAAGTAGTTTGTTGACCATATCAGACGAGGGGAGGATGAGGTGCCCTGGTACCTGCGGCGGCGCCCATCCCATCAGCAGTCACTTCCCTTCCTTGGGTTGGGTTTAAGCTCGATCCACGCCGATTTGGCGGTGCATTCGACCATTGCCTGGTCTGTGCTAGCGGTGCATCATCGAGTGGAGAGCACCAAGGAATTGGAGAGTGGACTGATGTCATGAGCACCACTCACAATCAAATCTCTTTTGCTCTACTTCTCTTTCGTCTTTTTGATTTCCTCGCTCTTGCGAGTCCTGTCACCATCGGCTGCCATTCCGAACTTTTTCGCTAGCAAAAAAACATGAGGAGATGATGATGGCCTCGATCGCGATCGACCCTAATCAGGATCAGCACTCGCCAATGTCCGAAATCAGAGACTTTTACTAGTGCAGTGTAGCGACAAGACAGAAGGCTGGGATCCTGGGGAGGATGCTCCGCCTTGAAAAACATTCAATCGATGATTTGACATGGAGGTCAAGTGTGGAGCCCTTTCCCGCAGCGTGCTAACAACCTGAAGCCCAGACAGACTGAACATGGTCACTCGTCCCGCTTGGCATTTTCTGCCCAGAACGAAGAGACCGAGGTCACAGAGGTCTGTCTCAGCACCACTAGAAGCTCAACGTGCAAGACACAATGCGCACGAAAAGCAACAAAGGGGAAAAGGGAAGCTGTTTTTGAATGCCGAATATTCGGTGAGACACGTTTGACTACCATTGCCCTCTGTGCAGCAGCAGCAGCAGCAGCAGCACCACGTCGACCACAATATGGTACTCGTCCAATTCTGAGCAACTACACTAGAACGGGGACTTTGTCAAAATGAAGTGTCTCTGGCTCGGATACTCACGATGGCGCTAGTTTCATTCTCATAAACTATCATTGACAGAATAGTCCGTACTCCATTAGAGCAAATAGTCCCTGCGTGATGAGAGAGAAGCAAAAAAGAAAAGAAGGTAGGAAATAAAACCGCCCAACCACCTGGATAAGTGTAGCTGAAGCCACAAACACTACCTACCAACCTCAATAACCGCACCTCACTACTGCACATACCATACCGTCCCGAGCGGGATCTCTATGTACACTAAACCTACACTACATTCTACAGTTGCAGTGCCGAACCTCATTTCAAGAAATTATAACCCCAAGATCCAGTCCAGTCATTCATTCAGTCATCCTCATCCCCAGTAACACAAGCATCCCCGCTCTTCTGCCCCTGTGTACCACCATTCTCATTTCCCATCTCCGTCATCTCCTACGAACAAACCCCCCAGCTGTGCGACCACATGTCATACGCATAACCTCATTTGCTGTGCACACGCTTTCAAAATGGCACACAGCGACGGGTAACGGGTTACTCCGTCCCTCCCTCTGTGTGAGCCTGTGCGTCCTGCAGTGGGGTGTGCCGTGTACGGGATTTGGTTGTATAGTGTAAGGACAGGGACCTCTGCAAGGTAATGTGTGACTTGATGTGATGTATTGGAGAAGGATAGCCTTCCAAACAATGTGGAGGCCTTGATCCTGGCTAAATACATAATGTTAGGCATATACCCTATATATGTATGCCCTCATCTCATACTGTGGGTTGTACCTGCCCTGCCTGCATGTGGGGTTCTAGGTGTGTGCCCTAACAATCTGCCCCCTCCAAAATGCGTTGCGCCCTTATAAATATAAATAGTTATATTAATTAAATCTATCTACTATAATATTGAGTCCGTTTTTCTTTATTATTCTAAAAATCTAGCTTCGGCAACCCATTAAGTACCCTACGTTAATATATTTTAAAAGTCTAACTTAATTAATATATAAGGTCTTTTATATCGATACGTCTCTTTCTATCCTCCTACTCTTAAATTAACTTAGTTCCGTCCTAACTTATTTAATCGGCTAGCTTCTATTTATCGTATTCCTTACTTAAATTTTTATATTTAAAATAATAATACTTCTTATTTTTAATATCCTTTTCGCTAATAATATATCTAATTTAATCGGCTATTCTAATTAGGCCGATTTAGGGTAATTAACAACTATAGATATCGAATAGTACTAGTTCTAAGTAGTCGATAGAGATTACATTATAGATTTTCTAAAATTCGGGTAATTCTAGCCTATATATTAATTTACCTATACACTCTTTAATTCTAAAAGGTCCGGTATATTAGGGGCCGAATTTTAAATTTAAATTTGGGATTATATAACTTTTGTATAAATGGAGCAAAATTCTATTATTAATATTGAAGAATATTGGTTAATAATATTTATTATAATAGTATTTAACTATGATTCCTATTAGTACAATGCTGTCTTATATAGATATTTTGTAATTAGGGAAGTTGAAGTTTAGCAGCCTTATTGATTCTTTCCTAATTATAGCGTTAGCAATATTGTTCGGTCTGAATCTAAGGGCTGCTTTATTTAGTGATATTCTAATTAATAAAGCGATAGAATTATTGTATTTGAATTGTAGTTTGGGCAGCGTTATTAATTACTATATTGGATTATTTAAATAATTAATAAAGTATCGAAGTACCGGCTATATAATTTATATTACTCGCTCTATCTGGCTATCTATTTAAGGGTAATAAATTGTTGAGTAAAGAAGTTTGGTTCTAAGGGCCTACTATATTCCTTTTTAGAAAGTAGAAACGAATTTCGGGTTTTAATTTAAAATAATAATTCTTAATATCCCCTAATTTACTTAAAATAGGCTATTAATAAAATTTTACGCCTATTATTATACTATCTACATTATTTTGCCGGGTGTGAGGAGTAGCTCCTTTATTAATTTATTAATACTAATTATAATTGTATTGTAATTGTATTTGGAGTTTGTTGGGAGTAATAAAATAAAGTTGATGTTAATTGTATAGTAGGGATATAGTACTTGAATTAATATTGGCTAGAGATTGTTGTAAGGTTTATAATACTGTTTTTTAAAATGTATATAATTCGGGTAGCCTTTGAAATAACGTTTGAGTTCTAATGTTCCTCTAGGGATATAGTATTATTATAAGTAAGAAGTTAGATAATAGTAACTTAAATAATTTAAACTATAGAATGTTTCGAATAATTATAGTAGGTAAGGATTTCGAGGAATGTAGAGTTTATTTTAGTTTCCGGGTTCTAATTTTTATAATAGGCCCTCCTTCTATTTAAATAGGATTTACACTTAATTTTCGGGTGAGAGTCTTTAATTCTATACTAGAATTTGGGAGATTTTGACCTAGTACGGGTCTTAATTATAATTTTATTGGATTGCCTTTTTAAAACCGGGATTAATATTACAATATATTACGTTAGTTTATTAATTTAATAGGTCGTAGGCTTACTAGTAGAAAATCTATTTTATTACTTAATATTTATTAAAATCGTTTAGTAATCTATTAAATCCGCCCTTATTACTAATTTATTTTTCGGTATTTAATATATTATTTATATAATTGAGGCGAAATAATATATTAGGGACGATGTATTACTTTCCTAATTTATAAAGTATTTTAATAATATTATAGAATTAGCTTGCGTATTTTATTACACGGATCAATTTTTTATTTCTAACGTTTAACGTAGTTAAATTAGAAATATTTATCTATTTAAAGAGTCCGACGATAGTTTTGTAATTAGTATATAAAATTATTAGCGGGTTATTTAATACGTTAATTTATTTCCTATATTTTTATAAAGTCTAAACGAACCTTAAGATTTCTATTTCTATTAATTAGTAATACCGTTCGGCGTTTATCAATGTACGACTTAGGAAAATAATTGTTTAATAATATTTTTTAGTTAGGAAGCCTATAATAGTCCTAATCTTCATTAGTCTTTAAAGTTCAATATTTATAATATAGTAGATTTCAACGCCGATTCTATACTAAAATACATTAAAATCAATAAATAGCTTTCTTATTACAACGAATAACTGGAATTTAATATTATTAGAAATTATTCGTTTAATTTCCCTAAACGCTACTAATTCTTTCGCTATTAGATATTAATATAGAATATTAGGAGCCTAGAACTTTTATTTTCCGGTGCGAGGCTTTTTTTAATTTACTTTACTAATTAACTTTATCTTACGCTATTCAAGTAGTTGAACTAGAATCCCGAATAGCGGTATATTTTTTTGTAAATATATAGCGAATTTAATGAAGTAGTTAAGTTGCGTTAGAGTTTTGGGGAAATCAAGTTTAGTAATAGTTTTTAATTTTCCCTCTATTATAGATATTAAGAATTTATCTATAAGTTTGCCTAGTATTAGAATATTAAGGAATATTACGAAAGTTTTAGATGGTCTAATAAATATGTTTTTATACTTGAATACTTCGAGGATTACTGTTAAATTGCGAATATATTCCTCTAGGTTCTAAGAAAATATTATAATATTATTATAGTATATTTCGGCTACGTTAATATAGGATAGTATTAAGTCTATTTAATATTAGACATATATATTTGAATTTTTATAACCTATTATTATACAATTGAATATAAATTGGCCTTTTAATATAATAATAATTAAAGTTTAATATAATTCGGGGTATATCCTCTATTAGTAGTAGAATATAATTGCATTTAAAATTATAATAAATTTAGCTCCTTTAATAGCGATGTTATTTAAAATTTCTTTTTATATTTTTATAGGATAGGTATTAGGTATCGACATCCTATTTAGAACTCTAATATCGATTACTATACGTCCCTTACGAACGTTATTAATAGTATATTAAATAATGAATATTAGAAAGGCGAAGGGGATTTAGTATTTTATTTATTAGACTTTTCCTATTGAAGTTAATTTTTCAAGCGTCTCCCTTACTATTATTCGCCTATTAGGGCCTAGAGGATAAATTCGATTATATTTAGGAATTTATATATATTATTCTAGCTTAAATTTAATTCTTATTTATTCTTCCTTAGGGATATTAATAAAACCCTTATCCTCAAAGACGTTTTGATAGTTTGTAAGAACTTTACCGACTTTTTTAAGTATATTAGGGTTTGTGTTTTTGTAGATTCTAACTCCTATATAGTGTTGGAGAATGTCCGGCAGGTTGCCTAGCTTAAGTATATACCTTTCTAGTCCGTAGTATGCGAATACCGCGGTATATACTATAAAATCTTTATTAATTTAAATTCTATTATAATTACTATCAATTAATATAAGATAACCTAGGGTTTAACCTTCTTATATAGCAATATAATATAGGAATAAATTAATTAAAGTAATATTATTAATACCGCCTATTATTAATAATATATATAACCCGAAAGTATTGTATTTTGGGATATATAGTTCGAAGATATAGTTTTATAGATTATCGATTTGTGTATAGTAAATATTAACTATTATTACCGATTTTGGGGGAAGCCTATACTTTATTAACACCTTAATTTTAATATTATATAGTTTCCTAATATTTGTTTTTATCGGAATAATTATATTGTATAATATAATAATAATTTGGTTCCTAGAGTTAAAGATATTGAAACTTTCCGATCCTAGAATATCTATTCCTATAAGTATCTTCGTTACAAAGTTATTAATAAGGGCGATTTCGCGCTCAAAATATACTAAGATTTTATTACTATTCGGATTAGTGCCTTGGAGGTAAATAGGTAATATAGTATAGTTGTTTGTACGGTAAATATTATTACTAATGCCTTTTACTATTAATAGTATAATTTGTTAATAAATTTCTATTTAGGGATGATTAGTTATAATTTATATTTTATTGGCTAGAGAAATAGAATATCCGGTATTAATATAAATATTGTATTTAATATTTAAATCCGGGTTTAATATAATTTAAATTTTAAAATAGATTTAATATTTAATTCTAAAATTAATAATTATATTTTATTTAAATTTGGTAATTAATTTCTTAATTGGGAATTAAATAACCGAGTTTAATTCGGCTATAATCTTAGGCTCCTTATTTACGCCCTTGTTTAGAGACTTTAGTAACGGGGGCGTTTATTTTTTTTTAATCGAGTTTAATTATTATTAATATAGAATATTATAGTGGTTTTAGGGTGAGAGTTCTTAATATAAGCGTGAAATTTATTTTTATTAGAGAATGATTAATTATATATTTTATATTTGTAATTAATGGTTATACGTTTAGTAATACTAAATTATATAATGTCGGGGTATTTATATTAATTGGACTTTAAAGTATAGGGTTCGCCGTAGTAGCCTTTATTCTCTTAAGCGTTACTATTTCGCTATACGTCGATATAATAAATTCTATTAGCTAGTTAAAGGAAATTTTAATCCTAGACTTCTTTAACCGACGCTTAGAATACGGTTAAATTATTTATTAATTCTTCTAGTACTATATAATTATATTTGTTAATAAAGAAAGTATATTAATTACTTAATTAATTATATTATTTTAATTATTATTACGGAAGTGCTAGTAGGCGTTTATATTTAGGAATAAAGGGTTAGCGCTATAGTTAGCTTTAGTTAAATTAATAGTTAATTAGGGTAATAGTTTAGTTTGGGTATTAATTATAAGAAAATTAATAGTATCGATTTTAAGGCTGGCTCTAGCTTTAATTCTAAAGGAATTAATAGGATTAATTATATATTTAATTCTAATTTTAAGGAAATTAATAGTATTAATTTTGGGGTTGGCCCTAATTTTGAAGGAATTAATAATATTAATTGTATAGTTAATTCTGGTTTTAAGGAAATTAATAGTATTAATTCTAAGGTTAATTTTAATTTAAATAACTTTTACGGCTACGACTGCCTCTTATTGATTGAGAAATTAGGTTTTTTATTTAATAGTATAGTATATTCTCCCGGGTTTAAATATTCTTTAAAAAATTATCGAGAGTAGTATTTTTGTTAGGCTTATTAATTTCCGTCTAAATATTACTATTGAATATTTTATATACTATAATTATTTATCCCTAAGTATTTATTTTATATAATTTAGTATTTTTAATTATTATTTAAATAAATATTATAATATCTTTTTTTATTACTACGTCCTAAAGGGTGAATTTAGACTATTTTAAACATTCTATAGCGATAGAATAATCGATTTTAAATCTAGTTTTAAATTTAAAATAAATAGCGTTAATAGATATAATAGCGAAGAGTATTCTATTTACTTTAGTAAAGATATAGGAATACTAAATAAGGGTAGGACTAAATAAATATTGAGTCTAGACTTTATAAATTACTTCTTCGCTATTTATTCTTTTAAAGTTAAATAATCTATTATAGAATAGATAAACGTTATTATATTTAATAAACTTTCTATTAATAATAATTCCGGATCCTAAAGGATCTTTAATAGAGGGATTAAAGTATTTAATATTATTTACTTTGAGGTTGTTTAATATAGTAATTAGAATCCTAAGGGTAGAATTCTAAACGGCTACGAATAAATTCGCTATATTTTAATTTATAGTTTTACAAGCTCTTTAAAAAGCTATAACTATTAATTCAGCTACAATTTAACGAGTTAACAGTTAGTTGGGGTTATTATTATTATAATTTAACAATATATCGTTTTTGGGGCCGGATTCGGAATTGAGATAAAGTAACAGTTATTTTAATAAATTTTAATTATAATTTAGATTTTACTTTAGATAAATTTGATTTAATAATTTACAAGTTTATTTTAAATTTAAATTTAATTTAACCGCTAGTTATTAGTAAGTAGTAGAATTTCTATAATCTTTATTAAATTCATTATTTATAAATAATTCTCTATCAATACTAGGATTATTAAAATTAGGCTCTCGGTTTTTAGGCTTAATATAAACGTATTCTATTAGCGAATTTAAATAATTGCTAAGTATTATCCCTAATATTGTACCTCATTAATTGCAAAGTATACTAGTTTTAATATTTTCTTCGTTTATATTAATATTAAAATCTTAATCTTAAACCGGGGAGTATTCAATAGGGGAATAATAGGGATTAATAAATAATTATTTATTAAGTAATTAAGAAATCTATTTTCCTATTCCAATTATTTGGGGTCCGAACTGGCTTTCCTAAAATTTAAAAAAATTATATTTAGGTTCTTAAATTTAGAATTCTTCGGTTTAGGGTTTTAGAAATTAATCTTATTCGTCTATTAGTAGTATTAATAAATTAAGGGGGTCGGGTAATAATAAACGTTTTTAATTTAGAATTATTATTAATATTAATTTAAGTAATTAAATTTTAATTTAATAAGTAATTAATAGGAGAATAGACGGTCCGAAAGGTAAGTTTAGGGTAGTAGAAAGAACGGCCGTTAACGAATTTAATTTAATAAGTTAAATTACTATTAATAATAATAGTAATAATAGTTATAAGAACAATACCTTTACTTTACCTTTCTCTATTTAATTATATTAGATAGTATATAATGTTACTATAGGTAAATCTAATTCAAAGGAATTATTAAGGTTAGTTTTAATAGAAGGGCTTTGTAGAGGGTTTATTAGGGAACGTTTAAACGTTATACAAACTTTCTACTTAAATTAGAAAAATATATTAAAAAGCAACCCTTTTTAAGATTCCTACGTTAATAAATAAGGCCGTTTATTATTTACTTTAATTTAATCTACTTCTATATTAAATATTAATTATAGTAAGTAAGCGAAGTTAAAATTAGATTTATTAATTTGAGTATTATAGGGGTAATTAGTAGTATAGAAATAAAGTAATTATTTAACTCTTTATTTTAAATTAATTAATTTAGTTTTATTTATAGATTAAATATTAGGTATAATATTAGTATTAAATTTAATATTTAGCATAATCGTATTAAGGCGATACGGCGTTCCGAAGTATAAAGAGTACAGCATTTAGCGATTGGATTAGTCTAATATAAGAAATTAGCGGATAAGATCCTAGCGAACTTTGATTTTGGTTGGTTATCCGTTCGATTTACTAGTATAGGTATTAGATTATAAGGATAGGGACCTCTGTAAGGTAATGTGTGATTTAATGTGATGTATTAGAGAAGGATGGCCTTCTAAACGATATAGAGGCCTTAATCCTGGCTAAATACATAATGCTAGGCATACACCCCATGTGTGTGTGCCCTCATCTCATACTGTGGGTTGTACCTGCCCTGCCTGCATGTGGGGTTCTAGGTGTGTGCCCTGACATGTAGGGCCTGGATTACACTGTCCAGCTTTATATGGCAAATCCCGTTCTTTTTCCACCTCAATCTGCAAACCAACTTCACGTTGCCTTTCGCCAAGCATCTCATGTCCATTCAATATTCACTCTCATGCCTATTGGACGACTTGTTTGTATTCGTTCTTTTTATTAGTTTTTTTTTTCCTGTCTTCATGTTCCTGAATCTCCGCAAATCATGCCCCAGGGCTTCGCTGTTTGAATCAGAACCTGACGAGCTCTTCAGGGTTCCAGCGAGTCCACGTTTACTCGTGCAGCCGCACGTTACATACAAATGGTCCAAGCATGTGTACCTAGGTATGCACGCTTCGTGCAGTGGTTTGCATATTTTTTGCGGATGCTGCTACGTAGATACATTATGCAAAGGCTTTACCGCCTTTCAAATGCCGCAGAAACTCGACATCGAGCTGAAAAAGGTACATGATTGCGGTGTGTGCGTGAAGTCGGATCGTCAGTAACATGATCAATGTCAATCAGACGTCAACATTCCGTGAACGTGTCCTATTCACGTCGTCGGTGATGTTTTCCAAGGTGTGGAATTTGAATGAAAAGGTTTACGCCGAAAGTTCGGGTGACGTTGAGACGAACGGTGGGTCCATCCGCACAGCCGGAAAAACAGAAGGAAGCCCTCACCACAACCATGACATTCATCAAAACCCACCAATTTACCAAACCCAACAACCCTCATCGTCAATTGTCAAGTACCACGTACCAAACCTCCAGACAAAACCTCATCAAACATTCACCTAAACATCGTCACCACACCGTCACCACACCGTCACCGCCACCATCGCCACATCAACCAAAATTACCTACTGCGTATACTATGTACACCCTTCGCGACTCCACCAGTTTTGACCGATCGCCGATCACGCTGGCCCGACTGTCCCGTTCCCTTTACTCCGTTCCCAGTCCAACCAACATCAACAAAAAGTCCCCAATCTTCGAAGAGAACATGATGCAAAACTCGACGAAACAGGATGACACTCGGGAAAATAAAATTAAAATAAATTTTTTTTACAAAAAAAATAAAGAAAAGTGATCCAAAGACAAAAGACAAAAGATAAAAGACATCATGCACAGACAACACCACGGACCGCTAATCGTCAACTGATTCAACTAATAAACTCAGACTCTAGTCTGGCCAGCCCTCACTGGATTCCTTTACTTATGGGAGTTTTATGAGTGAACGATATCCCCCGAGTTTTGTGGTGTGTACGGTCGTATGTGTTTTCTATCTGGTATAGAAACAGAGTCATGAACCCAAGTGCAAGTGTAAGTTACGATACGTCTCTCATCACAACCTCATTCGAGATGAGAGGAGAGCGCTTAAGGGGAGAAGGGGAAAAAAAGCGACAAACCAACCCGCGCGCAACATAAAGTAGAGGTAGGTACGTTGACGGAATTGTTCAAAGAGCTCTTATTTCTCATACATGTACGCCGAAGTGACTGTTTACGGTCAGGACTGGACCTCCGACTACCTAGTCCGTATAACTGCCGTGGGGAACCTAGGTTTGAACCAGAAGCGTGCTATCCCTCCTATGGTAGCAGGTGGTTCCAAAAAAAAAAAAAAAAAAACAGTACACACACGACCACTGGTTTTTGGTGAGCCCGTGTGTAGTCTTTTCTTGGAGCCACCTGGGTAGGTAGGTACCAAGCTGAGCTGAGCTGAGCAGAGTAGCAGATCTGGACCCATCTCATCTCTTCTCTTCTCATCTGCTCTCATCAAAAAAACTCACAAACCTCCCCGAACGCTTCTTCTACCAGGCGACGAAGAACTACCTACCAAGGTATGCTCGTCCTGAACAAAACAAAATAGTTGAGACCTTTGACATTATATCTTAGGTAAGGCATACTCCTACTACCTCTACGCATCCAAGCGCCTTTGTAACACCTCTGGTCTTGAGTTCTAGGCAATTACTGAATAGAAATATCCATCAGAACGCACCCCCAAACGAACTAACTAACTACTAACTAGGTAGGTTAAGGTATGGGCGACAAAGCGCCTACTCTGCGTCGTCGCCGACAGACTTCGTCGCCGTCGCCTGGCCATAGTCCTCCACCTCGCTCTCAATCTCGGAAGAAACACCATCGCTGGCCTCAGAAGAACCACCGCTTGGGCTTCGGCTTGGCGGGAGTCTTGCGAGGCATTGATGCGTGGAGACCAACCAGCATAGAGCAGAATCGTAGATGTGAATTCATTCTTGTACCATCTTCCAACTCTGTCTTCGAGTTGACTGTCTGTCAGTCAAGCCTGATATGCTTGATTGCAGGCGAAGGTGGACGCTTCCCTCAATGGGGCGCCACTTCCCTTTGACAGACAGGGTGCTAACGGGGGAAACCCCCGTGTCAGTTATAATGGTAAGGTTATAGTGAGAGGAAGCTAGGTAAATACCTCTAGGAAAGGTACGGAGCCGATACGGCGCCGTTACGATAGCGAAGTGGAGGGTTCCTCTTTTTACCCGGCCGAGAGGTACGGTTTTTCCCACCGACTATACGTAAACAGAAGTAGCACCGTATGCCCACGGGGGAGACCATATAACTGGTTAACGTATATAAGACCAATAATAATATCCATCAGAACGCTAGTTAATGTCTTTTCGAATTGTTGTGATCCCCATTACGGTCTTATAATGGCTATTTTTTTTTAATTTTTTTTTTCAATTTTTTTTTTTTTCATTTTTTTCTTTGGGCCTTTGTCTGGCTTTTCGTGTGGACATCGGCTACTGCAAATACTTCTACTTGTGCTTGGGCCGTTGGGATCGTTCAAGCGTACCTCTGTCCGAAACTTAGTCACAACGAAGCCAACGCAACCAAAGAGACACCCACAAAGTCCGCAACAAACCGCTCTTCAACGCCGAAGCCCAACTCTATCTCTCGAAAATTCACGAATTGTACATCGCCAAGAACGACAATGGACGTTTTTTTCCCCAGCGGCAGCGGATATAACAATAGTGTAGTGGAAGAAGACAAGAGCGAGGAGATACGACTGTGGGTAGACACAGAACAAAACCAGACGACGCTGAAAAAGGTAGTGGCGCTATTGAAGAAGATAAGGGAGTTGGCGAGGCAGGTGGAGAAGCAAAAGGGGGTTAGGACAACTACGTTACTGATGAAGTGTGATGGGATGGGAACAAGTGAAAGTGGAAGGGAGGGGGAGAGGGAGAGGGAGAGGGGGGGAGTACATTACCAGCCAGTCAGGCTACTCCCCGTCACACAGCCAGCACCACCCGAAGGAACGGCTACCTCTGCTAGGGGCAGGACACTGTAGGCTACGAATGAGGCGAGTGGTTGAGAAAGAAGTTGAGGGATGAGTGACGGTATGGGATCTCTGGGAATAAGTCTCGTTAAAAAGGGGGCATTATGTAGATAGAATGCGCTATCGGCTTTAAGATACAAGGTTGTGGACTATAAAATATTCGTGGTGTAACTAGTAATTGATACAAGATCAGGTACTCAGGAAATTTATAGGGTTAAAGAAAAGTGAAAAGAGAAGCCAACAAGATATCCAGCGATCATAACCAGAACTACCTCCCAAACTCATCCCAATCCCATCTCACTCCCAGCAACTTGAAACGAGAAAACGAGGCTATCCGATCCTGCTACTGGTCCTCCAAAATGGCCCCGACTGCCTTGCCTGCTCCTAGAGGTATTGCACGGAGGAAAACACCACACCCGGGGGCTGCCCTTCACTGCCATGCCGGTGAAACATGTCTCCAGGTACAACTACCCCATAACAGCAATGACTGGCGGAGGCAGAGCAAACCCATCGTCTGGAACAGCAGCTGGTAAGTTCAAACCCAGCTGGAGCTCGCCCTCCGGTGCTGGCGTGGCCAAACCCATGACGATTTGCGCCTCGTGAGGGTGCTGGGGTACAAGGACTGGTGTAGGGAGGCCAGCCACGATCTGTGTCTCATGTTGTTGATGAGGCACCACCACTGCAGGAGCGACTGGCTCGGGCATAACAGCAAGGACAGGTGGAGGCAGAGCAAACCCATCGTCTGGGACAATTGGTAAGTGCATCTCGGCCTCTGGTGCTGGCGTGGCCAAACCCATGACAATTTGCGCCTCGTGCGGATGCCCCCCTTGAGGTACAAGGACTGGCGTGGGGAGGCCAGCCACGATCTGTGTCTCGTGATGTTGATGAGGCATCACCGCCACAGGGACGACTGGCTCGGGGTGCGGTTGTTGCTGTGGTTCTTGTTGTGCAGCTATGACCTGCTGCTGCTCCTGTTGCTGCTGCTCCTGTTGCTGTTGGTTGAGTTGCTGCCCGGGCTCATCATGGGCTTGGTCCTGTTCCTGAATTCCGGGGAGCGGGGAAGGAGGCCATTCCCAAAGGTCCAGCGAGGGCAAACTATCGTCGTCGTCGTCGTCGGTTTCGTTCTCGCCATCATCACTAATCTCCCCATTCTCCCTCTCATTTTCCTCCTTGTCGTCTTGTTCCTCCTGATTCTCCTGCTCTTCACCTCCCACCACGGCTTCTGATGACTCCGTCACCTCGGTCTTTTGGCGCTTGGACGGGCGGTCATGCTGATCACTTTCGTGGTGGTCGGGAGCAATGGGTCTTTTCTGGCCGTCCATCTTGTTTGCTTGGTCTCGGTGGACAGATGGTAGAAAGGGGGTAAGATCTGGCTTCTCAGTTAAGGGGTTGAGGAAATGTTTTGGTGAATGAACCTCTAAAAGTGTCCTTGAGAGTTGAGTGAGAAGAGAACTGATGGAGATGATGATAGTACGAAGATGGAGAAGAAAGGCAAAATGGAAAGGAGAAGATAGGTAGCTTTATAGAGCTGGAAAAGGCCGTTCCAGTACTCCTTCATCGCCTTCGATGCATACAAAATCCAGGATACATGATGTTTTTTTAATCCGCAACCACTTAGGTAGGTAGGGTACATGTGCATAGATGCGAAGCGGGCATTTGTTTTTTCTTCTCCTTTTTTTCGGTCCGAGATGGAGAGGTGGTGAGTGGTAAGTCATCAAGAGACCAAGAATTGCAAAGGTTCTGGAGGACGAAATGGGGCTTAGAGGTATGTACCTCTACGCATGAACATGCTTATAAACGGCGGCCACGGCACTGGAATTTCCACAGGACTTGGACGTCCGTGAGGCTCTGCACATTGGTATATATGCAACACCGGCATATATGCAGCTTTTTCCAACAGTCTTTGGGTTTGAATGGCCGAGATCCGCAGACTAAGGTATAAATGCCGGACATGGACGAATTTGAAGTCGAGGGGCGTTGCAATTCCCAACTGCCGGGCCTAACATGCATGTTGTCAATGCACCGGAGTGCCGGGCTGGACCAAAACTTGATGAGCCGTGCCGATGAGCGCAGGTTGTATGCCCTGGTAAAGCACTTTGGGCATGCTTTGCATTGGAAAGTAGCGAGGTGCTTCTGAGCCCTTCTCGGGGCCACCCCCATTCTCCCGTGAGCCATTATAGTTGGGGTCGGAAATGTAGTCGAGCCAAGCTGGCCGTGGAAAGTACGAAGCCCTGTCTTCAATTCACATGTCAGTCAAAGTTCTCTTGTCCCAATAGATATCTGCGATGAACGAAGCTTGATTGCCATTCGGGGTGGATGAGATGATGACTGACACCGGCCTTCCAAGCTTAGGCACGCTGCCTCCTCGATTCTCCCCGGCGTCTCAAAGTTGCCCAACTCGGAGTGGCGCGGGTCGGAGCTGTATGCGTTCTTTTTTTGAAATTTTTTTTTTTTTGGAGACATCGTCGTGTATATTTGCTATCGACGCATGCAAAGCGAGGTTCCATGCGTCAAGCGCTGCACGGCGTAGAAGAAAAGGGCGATGAAATACTGTAAATGATTAAAAAAAAAAAAAAAAAAAAAAAAAAAAAAAAAAAAAAGCAAGGAGAATTTCCAGCCTGGACGACAGGAAGAACTAAAATACTCGAGAAAGTCATTGCCTCGCAACTTCTTTCCATGGAACGGATGGTGGCGCAGAAGCGACACGACGGACTCATTGCAAAGACCTCCTTCCTGTTGTGAGAGGTACTTTCCTTGAACCTCGGTATAGCCCGGGAACTCGGTCTCTGCAAAAACACAAAATGCATAAGCTACATATCTCTCGATGAATTACAAATGAATAAATCCAAAATGAATGTACTTTCATTTTACGCCTATCTGTTGTGAAGAAATCATAATCGAGTGTCCAAGATGGGTTTTGCAGCGATTTGGTGGAAGAAAGGAGCGAGTGGGGTCCCGAACATGCAACTTCCCCTACAGTCCGCCGGTATCCAAAAAGTCAACAACACGCCCGCCATGACGCTGATTGCACAAGAAAGCAAAAAAAGATGAAACAAAAGAAAGAAACAAAAAGGAAAGAGGAACACCAGATCAGACAAGATAGAAATCCTCCCTCTGCGCCGTATCAGCGAGTTCGCCATCCATAATCCCATCGCAGTATGCTTCCCCCATCAAAAGGTACATCTTGTCTCCCTTTTCCGGCACCGGTCGTACCACGTACGGAATCGTGTCGCCGTGGAATACAACCACTTTGTCGCCGGGCTTCGAGTGCCCCGGACCCATCCCTAGATATCCGTTCTTTGTGACGTACGGACGTTTGCCCTCCATGTACCGCAAGGCCATATAATATCCATCCGCCAGAAGCTCATCCATGTGCATTTCCGTCGCCAAGCTGATCTGCTTATCACCAGTTTTGTAAGCTTTGATGTAGTCGTTCCAATCACCTTCCCGGCTTGCATAGTCCTCGTAGTATGCCATGAATTTCCGGTACACTGATTCCAGTTTCGCGTCTGCCCTTTTCGCCCGTTGATGGCCATCCCCAAACATGATATACTGATCCGCTATGGGTACTCGCCATAAGGCAGCATCATGATGGCTAGTACTTGCATAGATGTTTTGGGCACATTGGCTCTGCTTGGACATGTTTAACAGTCTCCTGAGGGTGTTGAAAAATCCAACGATTTTCTTAGGACCGTCACGAGTACCCAAGTGGTCAGCCGGCGCCAGCTCTCCTAGGTCCACGATAGTATCCACGCAAAAGCCACGGACACCCAAAATGGTAGGAGATGAAGTTGACACCAAATCCGATGTCCTGAACTTCCCACAGGCTGAGAATGACGTGGTTCCTACATACGTCTTATCCATCTCGTTGTCCCACTCAGGTACCCATGACGGTAGTTCCACCTCGTTCTTGGTGCTGCCCATTACTTTCCCCAGCTGGGCAGACTTTCGTTGTCCCAAACTCCCATAACGAAGTATGTATAGACCTCTGACCCGTTGTGTTTTCCATTTCTTTTCGATTATCGCTCTTGCGGTTTGCGTCAACACTTGGGCAAGGGTTGTTGACGGAGAATAATCCGGCCGAATACCAAGCTCATCCGCGTCCCCCGCTAAGCCAAGAATTCCGTACACTTTGTCGCGCTGATTTGTAGCGTAAAACTTTGTAGACCCAGCAAAGAGTTCTACAAGGAGGTGTTCCAGGGTTTCTTTCGCATTCGGGTACTGGCAGTGCACCCGACGCTGGAAGAGCAAGTGTAATTTGAGGTACCCCGAAACGAGGATGCAATACGTAGGTGTCTCAGGGGTCTCTAGACGTTCACGCAAGCATCTGTCCATCACAATGCAGTTCACAAAATCGGTGACTGCGGAAACGAATTTCTCAGGGACGACCTTGTAGCCACAAGCAAAAACCGTATCCGAACAGAGACAGAACTCCTGTATAGTCCACACTCGCGTGAACCATGGTCTTTTCTCCCAGCGCGCAAAATAGCCATCCCTCTTCAATGCATAAACAACCTTGTATGCTTGCCTCAAGAAAGCAACGACACCAGGTTGTTCGATATTTTTCTCGATGAGGCGACGGACAGAAAGCAAGTGCTCTTCTGTGGTATGGTCGCCGAGCTTATCGAGGAATCCTTGACCAATTTCTGCAAAGGCATCCATTAATTTGTCGGAGCCGTCAGCAGCAGGACCTAGCCAAACGACGACTTGATGGGCAGACGAGTAGATATCCTTCATGAGCAGGACCTGGGAGGATTTTTCTCCGTCGTCGTCCTGATTGATACATAGCTGGTCAATCCACAAAGGCAGAGGTGCAATCTGCCACTGGCGTTGGAGCGTTCGAAGATGGCGGAGGCAAGTATCCAGGGATGTAGTCAGGCGAAGAGTTACAAAAGCCCCTCTGCCATCGTTGACTTCATTGACCACTGAAATCTCATGCGTCCTGGTGCTGTCCCCCCAGACGTATGAAAGCGCGATATAGCTGGGAGCTTGGGAGATAGGCACAGTGTAGATGTAGCCGGATAGGTCGTCCGTATAACTAGACCCGGGATGGAGGTCGAGCAGACGGATTTCGGCTGATGGGTCAAACAGACGAACCGAGTCATAGCGGAACAGGCTGTCAGTCAACGTTGCGTCCGTCTGCGCGGAACCAGCCATGAAGACGAAGAGACCGGACGGCGCACGAGATCAAATAATATGCAAGTGGATCAACGGTAACGGTTCCGGAAAGGCGACTGCTGCAGACGCGATGGTGTTGGAAGTTTAGATAGAGGCTGAAAATCTATCGAATATGGCTGCCTGACCTGAACCCAAGAGGCCATCGACGCTAGGATCACATGTTGAGGTTACATGGCGAGGTTACCTACATGACGATGTGGAATGGCGTGTGATTGGCTAGGCGAGCAGGGCCCGGAACTGAGAATACCTCGAACGTGTTGCGGCGGTCGTGAAATAATTGGATGTTGTGGTTTTCGCCGTGGGAAAGGAGCGAGGCCATGCGAAACTATGTAGGGGAACTGAGAAATAAAACAAGACAACGAGGAAAAGGGCAAGAAGAAAAATCGACCGAAGGAGAGAGGAAGAAAATGCGTCGACGGAGATAAGAAAGAGAAACCAAGAAAAAGACAAGAATAACATGAGAAAAAGCGCCCTGGATGATGACCGAAACTGCTTCATTTTCGATGAAGGGTGTTCTGTTGATATTGGAGAGGAAAAGGAGTGGGGAAAAAAACTGAAGCTGGAAGAGATCGGCCGCCAACCCCAAATCAATTGACACATGGCACCTCTCCAGGCTTTTTCAGCCATCAGTTCCTGCTCTTCATAGATTCCCCGAGGTCTGAGCTGCCTATCACAAATAATAGCAAGAACCTACGAATAGGTAAGAGCGGCCGGATGAGTTCGAGGCACGCATTCTGTCCGTCACAGAAGGGAGGCGCAAACATGCTCAGCTACTACCCACCAAAGAAGATTCCCTTGGATCTAAGAAAGAGCCTCCTAATCACTGTCCATCATTCCATGTTGCATTTTTGTTTCCTGCCGATCCATAGGTAACTGTGCGAGAGTACTTATCCCGAGGTGTGAGAGGTGAGGCTATCTGGGCTCTGCGCGTATAAGTCGTCAGGCAAGCACTCCACAAATAGACTGCATGGTGATATGTGAAAATCGAAAAGGATTTGAACTGACAGTTTGGCGTTATATACGGAGGTCTGGGAATATTGTTGGACTTGACTCAACTTGAATGAAAACGTTCCCAAACACGTGTATCATCCACTTTGCAGGCATTCATTTACTCTTATGAAAAGACCATATATCCCAAAAGTTAACGCCTCGGGATTGTGCGCCATTCACTATACCTGGGATACCTGGGTGAGGTGTTGTAGAGGTCTCACCAGAGAAGGAAAAGAAAGAACAAGAGAGAGAGAAAAAAAAGATGGAGAGAAGTAAGTGAAGTGTTACAGATCTGCCAGTTGCATTTGACGACCCTCGATGAACATGTACGTAATTGTTGGACGCCTCCAACCCTGCACCTGATATTGCCAAGTAGTTTGGTAAGTTCCTATGCTGCATGAGGAAGACAGATTGGTACGGAGGGATAATGGAAGGAAAGGGTCGGTGCTCTGCCTACGAGCATTGCATGTACATTAGATTCCTGCGCAACCGTCGGATGTCCGGCATCGCCGAAGGACATCTGGCTGGTTTTGACATATAAGAACAGGTCTCTCCTCCGTCACTTCCAGTCTCTGACTCCAACTACTTCGCAACTGAAACATTCTATTCACACTGATATCTCACATCCATCAACCAAACTGTCACACATCATGAACCAGCAACAAGAACTCGTGGAAATCGGCCGTGGCAACTGTGGCTCCGTTTGGGCCAGGCGCCTTTCCGAAGTCGACGACGACGATAGCAATAACAAAACTGTCATCAAACGGGAGGATTGTAATCGCAACCGGTCTGTCACCAAGGAATACGACATCCACAAACACATCCTAGCCCGTTTAGCAGCAGCAACGATGGCATCGAAGTCAGACAGCAACCTGATGACAGGCTACCAAGTCAATATCCCTACCGCCATCGACTTCATCGACTCGACTTCCCCGGAATGGGCTTCCCTTTTGCCCCGTCTCCCCAAAGACTTCAAACCGTGCAAGGCCCTCAATAACGAAAGAATCCCGCCGATGCGGCAACACGTCCGCCAGCTCCTCGCACAAAAGTATTGTGGTACTGGTGGTCGTAGCGGCCCACCAAGCGAGAAGCTCGCTGCCGACCTCCTCGATGCCGTGATGACGGAGCAAAACTGTTTGGTCCGTCCTTTCCTTGGACGACGCCGCCTACCCAGAAACAGACCTCGGGTGATATCAGCCGTCAGCTTCCGCAACTACCCACTCCACCTCGATCAGATCGAGGAACTCGGGCTCCCAAAGGAGCAATATGCCATAGCCATGGCTGACATGCTTGCATTCCTTCATTGGGAGGCAGAAGTGGACGCGCGAGACGTGGAGTTTGTTCTTGCTCGGCCCCGACAACAGCAGCCAGCTTCTTCATTGTCCAGCATCGGCTCGAAGCCACTCAACCCTGAAGGAGTATTCGGCCCTCATGCCATGTGGCTTCTCGACTTTGACTGCTGCAAGAGGTTGGCGATACCGGGAACCATGAATGATGATGACGAGAAAATGCAGACAGAAGTCGCATTTTTGGACCATGTGGCGTTTTGTTTTTGGCGGAATGATCCGTTTTATCCTAGACCTCCTCCTCCTGGCTACGATACCAACAACGGCGACGGCAACAGCAGCAACGGCGACGGCAGCCATGCTAGCATCTCCAAGTCAAACTATCATCCCGCGGACGTACAGCTGTGGAAGATGTTCAAGGAACGGTACCTGGAGACAAGCGAAGAGATCCTGGAGGAGAGAGGGAAGGAAGAGATGGTGAGGGAGCTGCCAGGGAAGGTTATGGATATAATTGAGAGGACGAGGGGAAAGAATTGGTTTGCTTTCAGGGACGAAGGCGGGGTGGAATAGAATTAGTATTTTGTAAGCAGTGTTTGGCTTGTTTCTTGGTTCGATTGAACTTAGATTCAGTACAACGTATCCGAGTAATTGACGGTAATTTGATCTTTGTGCTCTTGACTGCTCGCTTCAGTTCCTTCGGTTCTCTTCGCTTCTTGCGCCCCGCCTTCTTCCTTTCTTCCTACTCCTCGGTTCTTTCCCTTTTATCCTCGCCTTTTCCCCCGTACTTTACTCATGCGGCGGGTCTTCTGCAGCCAGCTACTTCCTTGGTCTCGTGCAGGTAGGGAACCAGATCTTGGGCAGCCGATATGGGTTCAGCCACTCCTGCCTTATTTATGGTCTTGAATCCAGAAACCAAGACAGCTTTTCCTCCCACTTCCAACGTACAACTCTTCATCCAACAAATCATTCCATCCACAATTCATCACCGCTGACCATCACAGTGTTTAACAGCAACAATGCGACGTATAAATGAGTCGACATCTCTCCATCTCCAATCTACAGCATGAGTCCAATAAAGGTTCATCTTTCGTTACTCTCCTTCCATGTCCCGTCGCCGTCGGAAGCTCAACACCAGGTACGCTACCCACCCCTCGGATGCTTTGTCGATAACAACCTCTCTAGGACATATCGCTGACAAACATCCAGTCATACCAACACTTTGTACCTCTTCTGCGTTTTCTTTTTTGCCTTCGCTTCTCACCATTTCGAACGATAACCACACCCATCTTTACAAACAATGTCGAACGACGTCTGAGCAATTTCGTCTTCCTATGTCCAAGAGACAGATGAACGCCACCGAAGCATCACGGACTCATCAAAAGTGAGAGACGCATTCCTCACCAACCTATCATTAGAAGAGCGCCTCGACTTACCAAATCTCCGAGGAGGTACTCATGAGAATACTTTCCATCAAATCAGCTGTGTCCACGACCGACTTCATCCTTTGCCGTTGCTCGCTCAAGATGGAAAGCAGCTACACACATCCCCACGAAGGAGCTCCCACGAGATCGGCACTGGCTCCATTGGAAAAATGTTCGAGCACCCGGGGATTAATTTCGTGTTTAAGTTTCCCATTACGAACGCTGGACGCGCATCGAAGCTCTGGAACAATTACGTGATCCACTCCAAAGTTCACGCGGGCTTTGCATCCTTACCTTACTATTACGAACACCAAGCCCAAGTGCCTGAGTGCTTCTGGTACGGCACGCCCGGCACCGCAGGATTTCGGGCATTGGGGACCCAACATTGACCGATTCCTACGCACACCCGGGCACAAACTGTGCTTGAAGATGGTCATTTTGGTACCATGGTACGGTCATGAATGGGTTGTTTGACTTCACCAAGCGCGTAACTGCGTTGTGGTTACTCGGATTTGATGATTGCTCTCCAGTCAGGATGGACATGCGTGGGGTGGTGTAATGGATTGCTATTGTCCAAAACCCAATGCGTGCAAAGATTATGTTTGCAAAGAGTATGTTGATAAGTTTGACTTCTCACGCCACCCCAATAGTCTATGTGGCAAGGCTGCTTCTTTGAGTGCTGACGGCTCGGATGAAGGAAGAGTATCAAGAAGATATTGATTGAACCTTTCTATCGCAACTAAACTATCTCCTTTATCCAGGCCATAGACACCTTCCATTTGTTACATAGCAACTACCGTGACTCGTTTCTCAGTTTCCTTTTCCACCCCTTCTTTTCGTTTTCTGTATCTAACATAGTTGAGAAAACGCGCTTATGGGTATTGTTGTCTGTGTATCGAACAAGAAGAAAACACCCATATGATATATCCCATCCACAGAAACCAACCCAAGTCAAATCAAAACAAGATGCCCTATCCATGCTGCTGACTGAAGACAAAACCCATCATTAATCCTGAACAAATCACACCGTACCACATCATAACACTGCACATCTTTTAATCTTAAGCATCATACCTCATACCAGGCGGGCAAGACTGCATGCTTAACCGCTGCACATGACGCAGGAGGAGGGATCGGCGCCGGGAATGTAGGGGCCTGTTTGTTTAATGTGGTCAGCGTGTGTCTCAAGGTTTCGTTGAGGATAGTGTTGTCGCTTACATGAGACTACCTCATCAGAGTAGATATCCCCCTCTCTCTCCTTGCTCTCCTCGTCCTTGTCCTCACTCTGGCCCTCCTTCGTCTCCAGCAGCGTGGATCCAATGTCCTCGGCCTTAACAACCGGGTCAGTGGCCAGAGCCTTGGGGCTCTCAGGCTCGGGCAGATCGGCCTTGAAGCCGGCATTCTTGGCGGGCGAGACCAGTGGACGGGGCCTGCTGTCACTCTGTACAAGAGTCTCAGGATCTTCAGTGGGAGGAGGTGTGCTGGCGGGTGTGGGAACATCCCTGGTGCCGATGGGTGTGCTGGTGCCGCTAACACCAGTCTGGGCGTACGGGCGGGGACCCGAAGTGTTCTCCCTCAACACGATAGACGTATAAGTGCCAGCGGGAGGGGAGCGCTTCTTAAGACCCGAGTGGGCTGGGGCCACTCGGTCATCCGTGGCCCTGAGAGCCTCCTGGTCTACGGTGAACTGGATGGGCTGAGCAGCAGCCTGCGTACGGAGGTAGTACATGCCGGTCTTGAGACCCATCTTCCAGCCGGCGAAATGCATGCTGGTAATCTTGCCCATGGTGGGCTCGCGCATGTGAATGTTGAGGGACTGGGACTGATCAATGAAGGCACCACGGTCGGCAGCCATCTTGACAATGGTACGCTGGGAGATTTCCCAAACAGTCTTGTAGAGGGCCTTGATGTCATTGGGAATGCTCTGGATGTTCTGGATAGAACCGCCCTCAGCAATGATGCGGTTCTTCATGGCATCAGACCACAGGCCCATCTCCACAAGATCCCTGAGAAGCCAGGGGTTGACGACCTGGAACTCGCCGGCGAGCACACGTCGTTGGTAGATGTTGGAGGTGTAAGGCTCGAAGCACTCGTTGTTGCCAAGAATCTGAGAAGTGGAAGCAGTGGGCATAGGAGCAAGCAGCAGACTGTTGCGGACACCGTACTTCTTGATGTCCGCCTTGAGAGCAGTCCAATCCCAGAGGTTGGTGGGAGTGACGTTCCACATGTCATATTGGAGGATTCCCTGGGAGACGGGCGAGCCCTCGTAGGTGGCGTACGGACCCTGCTCCTTGGCGAGCTGGCAAGAGGCAGTAAGAGCGGCGTGGTAGATGGTCTCGAAAATCTGGATGTTGAGCTTGCTAGCCGCGTCAGAATCGAAGGGCATGCGGAGAGCCAAGAAAGCATCAGCAAGGCCCTGAACACCGACACCAATGGGACGGTGACGCATGTTGCTGTTGTGGGCCTCCTTAACGGGGTAGTGGTTGATGTCAATGATCTTGTTGAGGTTGCGGACGACGACTTGAGTGACCTCGTGCAGCTTCTTGAAGTCGTAAGAGGCATTCTCGTAGTCGATAAAGGCGGAAAGGGCGAGAGAGGCAAGGTTGCAAACGGCAACCTCATCCGGGGCAGAGTACTCAATAATCTCAGTGCACAGGTTGGAGCTGCGGATGGTACCCAAGTTCTTCTGGTTGCTCTTGCGGTTGCAGGCATCCTTGTAGAGCATGAAGGGGTTGCCCGTCTCGGTCTGGGCCTCGAGGATGGCATACCAGAGCTTCTGGGCCTTGACGGTCTTGCGGCCCTTGCCTTCCTTTTCGTACTTTTCGTACAGAGCCTCGAACTCGTCACCGTAAACGTCGGCAAGGCCGGGGCACTCGTGGGGGCACATGAGAGTCCACTGGCCGTTCTGCTCGACACGCTTCATGAAAAGATCGGGGATCCAGAGGGCAAGGAAGAGATCGCGAGCGCGCACTTCTTCCTTACCGTGGTTCTTGCGAAGGTCAAGGAACTCAAAGACATCGGCGTGCCAAGGCTCAAGGTAGATGGCGAAAGCACCAGGACGCTTGTTGCCACCCTGGTCAACGTAGCGGGCGGTGTTGTTGAAGACACGGAGCATGGGAACAATACCGTTGGATGTGCCGTTGGTACCAGCAATGTAGGAGCCAGTGGCACGAATACGGTGGATGTTGAGACCGATACCGCCAGCCATCTTAGAGATCATGGCGCAGGTCTTGAGGGTATCGTAGATGCCCTCGATGCTGTCTTCCTTCATGTCGACCAGGAAGCACGAAGAGAGCTGGGGCTGGGGAGTGCCGGCGTTGAAGAGAGTGGGAGAAGCGTGGGTGAAAGTCTTGAGGGACATGAGGTTGTATGTCTCAATGACCCGCTCAACGTCGTCTCCCCAGATACCGACAGCAACACGCATGATCATGTGCTGGGGACGCTCAGCAATCTGGCCATCGAGCTTAAGAAGGTATGATCGTTCGAGGGTCTTGAAGCCGAAGTATTGGTAGTTGAAGTCACGGTCGTAGACAATTGCAGAGTCGAACTCGTCCTTGTGGCGCATGACACACTCGTATACGTCCTTGGCGATCATGGGGGAATGTTTGCCGGTCCTGGGGTTGACATAGTTGTACAGCTCGCTGATGACGAGCGACCATTGCTTCTTGGTCTGCTTGTGGAGGTTGGACACGGCGATACGGGCGGCGAGGATGGCATAGTCGGGGTGGGTGACGGTCATGTAGGCGGCAGTCTCGGCAGCCTAGGGAAAGATTGTGTGTTAGCTCGTGATTTATAATCGGTACAAGGAGGAGAAGGACTGGGGAGGAGGTGCTTACCAGATCGTCTAGTTGTGCTGTGGTGACGCCACCGTAGACGCCAGAAATGACCTTTTGTGTGATGGCTACAGGATCAACATGGTTCATGTCGAGGCCATAACAGAGCCTCGAAACACGAGCTGTGATCTTGTCGAACTGGACGCGCTCCTGGCGGCCATCTATGAAGAGGGAGTCAGCATTGGGCGTGATGATGGCGTTGCTAGGAAGGGGGAGTCGTGAACATACCGCGCTTCTTGACATACATAATGTCTGATGTGTGGGGGAGAACGTGAAGAAGAGGGAACAAGAACAAGTACAGTTATTGACAACCAAGATGGAGGAGACACAACAGAAGAACACTTGAACTTGAAGTGGTGCTGCTGCTGGGCCGTTGACAGGATTCGACTACGCTGACAAATGGCACGAGCAGGAAGACGACTAACACCAAGACAGGCCCAAGCAATCTCGAAGTTGTCTTGGGGGGAATTGGGTAGTATGGGATGGAGGAAGAGGAGAGGGAAGGACAGTAACTTGAAGTAGTCACAGTCACGGAAGAGACGGGAGAGAAGTGGAAGGGAGAGAACGAAGAGATGGAAGGAGAAGGCAGCGAGAAGGATGGTTTTTCGAGATTGGCGCGCCCACTCTTTTTTAGTGTAGCCCGTCTTAGGTGGACTGGAAACTGCCAGTGCCAATGCGGGACCTCTATGGGCCGGCCGTCAAAAGCGCGTCTCACCCACCGCAGCCGAGTGCAGTATGTGTGCATTTTGGAGTACTGGGAGCATCTGGACGCGTCTCACTGCGGGCTGCTACAGTTTTTGTTCTTTTGGAGCGCGTTGGCTGGAGGGGAGGCCCCACCAAAAGTCTCCTCGTCCCCCCTCCCCCTGGCCCGATGTTAAACAAAACACTGCAGCTGCCACCCCACCTTTTAACAGCGCTAGAGGTAGCACCACTTTACACGTCCAGAACGACGCGTCTGTAAATTACATCATCGCAAGCAAAGGGGAAATGTGAATTGCCGTGAGCAGTACTCTTTTACTTTTGTCTTTTCAACATGGGACAAAATTCACAGATATTCACAGAGCCGTGTCAACCATTTGTTTACATCGCGCCCTGCTGCCTGGCACTAGCAAAATCCCAGACCCGCGCGCGGATCCGTAACTCCAGCCGTCGGCACCTTCAAACCCGCCCAAAAACACGGTGCTTAAGTAATCATGGGTGCGCGCCCTGCAGCGACTGAGCGGATGAGCTGCAGCAAGCCAAGCATGGCCCCTGTCAGGTCCCAATCCAGTGTTCAAGCTTGACCTCTCTCCATCCGACAGCCAACTCTTACTGAGTGAGAGACGACATCACACTGCCCTGTTCATCTCGTCCGATGACTTAGGAAGAAGGGAAACGTGCGTTTTTAGGGTTTCAAGTTTTAATCTGAGTGTTTAAAGGTGCAAGGGAAGACAAGAGATTGAGGGTTTGACCAAACTTTATGTCGATGCGATTGAGTGTCTCACGACCAAGTCTGCACATCCCCGCAAGACCACCAATCTTGAGCAGCCGTAACTGCAGCATCACAGCACCATTGACAGCCATGGCGTCCAACTCTACTTTGGCGAGCAATGGCCCGTCTGAGACTTCAACTTATAAGCCCAGATACATCGATGTAAGTCATTCAATCATCAAATAATCATCAACACCAAAACCGATACAAACCACCCACTGACTGACATGTGACACAAAAGATCGGAATCAACCTCGCCGACCCCATCTTCCGCGGCCACTATCACGGCAAGTCACGCCACCCCGATGACCTCGCCGGCGTCGTCCAACGCGCCATCGACGTAGGCTGCGCCAAGCTCATCGTCACCGGCTCCAGCTTCAAGTCCTCTCGCGACGCCCTCAAAATCGCCCAACAGTTCCCTCACCACGTCTACACAACAGCCGGCATCCACCCCTGCTCCTCCTCCATCTTTTCCACCTCACACCACATGCACCACGACGAATCCGGCTCCGAGTCCGAATCATCTCCTGCTACTGCTGCTGCTACTGCCCCAGAAACAGCAGCCGACTCGGCCTCCACCCCGATCCCCATCTGCGCCGACCCCGACCCTGACGCCCCACAACCCGAAGACCCTTCTCTAATCGACCACGTCCGCACCCCGCAACTCATCGCCTCCCTCTCTGACCTCATCGACTCCAACCGTTCTCCAAAAGGGGGACTCATTGCCTTTGGCGAATTCGGCCTCGACTATGACCGTCTGCACTACTGCTCGCGCACCATCCAATTACATTCCTTCCGGGTCCAACTCAGCCTTGCCGCCTCTCTCACCCCGCAACTACCCCTTTTCCTACACTCGCGCGCCGCCCACCGGGACTTTGTCGATTGTCTCAAGGAAGCCTTTGGTCCGAACCTCGAAAAACTAGAAAAGGGCGGGGTGGTGCATTCCTTCACCGGTACCCTCGAAGAAATGCAGGAGTTGATGGATTTGGGCCTGTTTATTGGTGTGAACGGGTGTAGTTTCAAGACGGAAGAAAACTGTGCGGTTGTCAAGCAGATTAGGCTGGACAGAATCATGTTGGAGACGGATGGGCCGTGGTGTGAGGTACGGGGCGGACATGAGGGGTGGAAGTACTTGGTGAAGTATTATGCGAGGGAGAGGGAGGCTAAGGAGAAGGCTGAAGCGGAAGCTAAGGAGAAGGCTGACGAAGAGGCGAGAAAAAAGAAGGCGGCAGAAGAAGAAGAGAAACAGAAGGCCGAGGAAGCAGCCAAAGCCCTCGCAGACGTTTCTCTAAACGAGAATGGGACACAACCCCAAACCGAAGGGGAAGTCGGGAACGGTACCCCGGACGTTAGCGGGACCTCCACACCCAACCCCAGCGGCCAACAACAACCGGGCCAAAAACGCGAACGGCGCAAGAAGCAACCACAGCCGCCTCCACAGCCAAAGAAGAACAAGAACGCAAAGAAAGAATCTGAAGTGCCTGAGCGGTTCAAAGTCGTCAAGAAGGAGAAATGGGAGGAGGGGGCTATGGTCAAGGGCCGCAATGAGCCGTGCACAATTGAACGGATTGCTATTATTGTCGCGGAGATCAAGGGGATCTCGGTGGAGGAGGTGTGTGAGGCTGCTTGGAGGAATACTGTCAAGGTGTTTGGGTTGGAGGAGTGAGTGAGTGAGATGATGGAAACGACAAGAAGAGGGTGGGGAGAAGGTAGAAGAGAAAGTAGAAGGTAAAGGAGTTGGGGCGTTGGTCAAGTTATATAAAATTTGATAAATAAAAGAAGGTCATGTCTCAAGGACAAACCCATCATGATCTGAAATGGCAGGTGACCATGTCCATCGTTGACAAATCAACCGTAAAATAAATGCTGCTTCCCACAATGCGGGCGCTAGTTCAGTTCTGTAATGAAGGACGGGATGCTGTTCCCAACGCCAAACACCACTGCTACTGCTACTGCTGCTGTACCCGGACACATCCATGTAGTGTATCAGAAACACTCAAAGACCACTTCCTTTATTCCCCCTAATCCTCCCCTCCCTAACCTTCCCGACAGTAACGCCCTCTTCGCCGGTCAACCACCCCGGCATTCTCTCTCCATCGACAATCCCAGCCTCTACTAGCTGCCTGATGCCCGCAAAAACGTGCGAGCCGTGGAAGGTTAGTTTGACGTTTGGGTGCCATTCATCTTTTTCTTTCCCTGTCGCTTCTGCTGCCGTGCCATTGGAGCTACTGGACCCAGACCTCCTATCACCGGGGGTATCTTTGTCTCTTTCTTTGTCTCGTTCTCTGTCTCGTTCTTTTTCTCTTCCTCTTTCTTTTTCTCTGTCCCTGTCCCTGTCTCTATCTCTGTCTCTTTCTCTATCTCGTGACGAAGACGAAGACGAAGAAGAGGAAGTAGAGGAAGAAGAATGGATGGAAGAAGAAGGAAACTCGTCTTCGAGAATAATATCCACCCTCTCCACACCTTTCCCGTCTCCCACCCGTGCAGTCTCGGCAAACCTCGCTTTAGCCACAAGTTTTCTCCTCTTCTGTTCTCTCTCTTCCCTCTTTGCACCAGGCGACAACAATGGCGGCTCCAACCTCTTCTTCTTTCTCCCAGCAGCTCCGTTTTGTTCCTCCTTGTCACCCTCCCCCTCCTCCTCTTCAGAAAGCGGAGGCGAAGGCAGCACCGTATCAAGCGGCGTCTCCCTGTTGCCTCTTTTCCCCTTTCCCTTGTCGCGCATCTCATCAGCGTAGATACTCCAACCCCCACCCGCTGCTCCTTGCCTGGTATTTGCGCCGCCGCGGCGGTCCAAGAGTTCATTCAGGTTGCGCGTCGCTAAGCTGGTTGGCTTCAAGCAGAAGCGCTGGCGGGGACGGGATAAAGCGGCGGGGATGCCGACCAGCAGCAAGTGCTGGAGGGATTTGGCTTCGCCGGCTGTGGTGTTGATCCCTGTGGTCTTCGTGGCTGCCGAGGAAGGGCCGGCGGCAGGGGCGAAGCCGGAGAGGAGTTGAGGTTTGGAGATGTAGATGTAGGGAGAGGCGTCGGGAAAGGCAATGTAGACGGTGCGGGAGGTGTCAAAGGTGGTTGTTGCTGCTTTGCGGCTGGTTTTGGAGGAGCCGGACTGGAGACCGAGGCTGGTGTTGTAAGGGGAGTCGAGTATGAAAATACGCAGGATCGATAGAGGTAAAGTCCGGTGGCGGTCAAAGTTGTAATGCGCCTTGACGTCCGGCGGTACTTGGGCTTGGAGGTTCTTGAGAAACGTAGAAGGGTGAAACCGCGGGATAACGAGCGATTCTTTATCGACTTCCGGCTGTTGATTCTCCTCCTCTTCGTTCGTGGATAATGGTTTCAAGGGCATGATCCGATATGCCGCCCACTTCTGCGACGTCGGGTGATCATAAAGGTACTGAATATCTGCCATAGCAAGCTGATACAGCGTCAGACCATGGCGCCAGTCCCCCTCAATAATCCTGTCAATCACCTCCCTCTTGGATCCCTTGCGCGATTGTAAACTTGTGTAAAGCTCCTGCAACGCTTCGAGCGAGCGCGCGGGCGGGTGGAAGTCGTCGGCATATTCGTCTTCGTCATCGTTATCGTCGTCATCGTATTCGGAGGAGGAGGGTTGGCGGAGGTAGGGAGCCGCTAGGGCGAGGTTGCGCTCGTCAAGCCAGTCGAGTGCGAGCGTGAGGAGTGAAGCGCGCGACAGCCGATTGAGGATCTTGAAGACGGCTGGGTTGGAGGGGTCGACGCGTAAGGAGGAGGGCAGTCGCGCGGTGGTGGGGATGGAAATGGGTGCCATTTTGCGATTGGGTTGGGGTTCATGGATTGGTGGCCCCCTCCTCCCTCCTCGTTGCGTTGTTGTTTACCTACTGAGTAGTTTGTGTGGATGTCGCGTGCTTGGGTTTGGATGGCGTCGCTTAGATTGAATGAATGGTCGCGGTCCGTGGCTTGGCAGTTCGCGGGCCCTGGTGGATTTGTGGACCGGGCTTAGCCGACCGGGACGGGTTGTCGAGGTCGGGATGGTGGTTTGTCGAGAGGGGACCGCGTGGAAGTCAACAACCGAGCGACTCGATGTGACCGTGTTGGTCCACATGTGCCGTGAACAAGCGTCTCCGGATCGACGCCGGTCAACAAAGCCGCAGCATCGGCTGGCCCGTGCGCTCAACGTCCGAGATCCAGGTACGTACCCCCGGCTACTTAGTGGGGACTCCCACCACATACCTCTACTGTATCCCGCCGGAGACCCGCCGAGTCCGCTTTCATCGCCGTTCTCATCCCATCTCCAATTCTCGCCTTCATCGTCCCCCTTCGATTACAGATGCCGGCAACTGGCAGCAAGCTGTCTGGCAGTTCCTTGTTATGGTTGATACTCCGCCGCGCGTCTCGACCACCACCAGCCAGGGCCAGCCAAGAATACACGGTACATGCCGTCGTGGGAATGTCATTGACTCTTCACGATCATCTTGCCTTTTGGCCTCAATGGCCGGCTATCTAACATTTACTCATAAGTTACTCTCCACGCCCGGCCAACCATCCGCTTCGTTAAGACGCCGGAATAGGATTGGAATCGGCATGAAGCCTCAGCTTTGTTGTTCCTTTGTCCTCCTCCTCCTCCGGCTCGATGGAGCTTCCAGCGCCGGTGATGCCCGCTTGTGCCTGTTCCTCACAAAACCCTGAAACAGGAGCTGGAATAACGGCAACTCCACAGCAATCGTCGATCGATTGGAAGTCTCTGATCCAAAGTTTCTCTCGGGCGCAGTGCCAAGTCTGGTCAAGCAAAAAAGGTCTGACCTATAGAATGCCGCCGATCGCGGACTGTGGTTTTCACTGTTTAAGCCGGATGCCGGTCACCGACGTCAACGACAGCGAGTTTGTGATCTCATACACTACACTACAGTGGAAGAGGAGGGACGATAGGATTGTCTGTTTTCGTTGCTCATAAATCGGACCCTTTTGATGTTACAGCGGTCAAGCCAGTCTTACACTACTGCGATTACTTGATACCGCTTACCGGCTACCATGCATGTTGGCATTGAATTCAATCGAACCATCAAGGGATCCTTTTGTGCTTTTGTGAGTTAGCTCTGTGCAGCGTCGTCGGGGTTCACGACGTCCCTTATTGGATTATTAATACAGGCCTGACATGTGAATGGTCCGCCCTTCAGAAGACCCGTGGGAAATCGGAGGCTCTCACTCGCCAATTCGTCCCAATGCATCGTCGTGCAGATCTGGGGTGTCATTGTTCGTGGGAACGGCCTCTTTTCTTCTTCAGGGCCTGTCACGGTGTGCTAGGGGCACAATGGAGCATCAGAAGAGTACATAGGATGGGGAAGCCTTGAGGAGAAGAAACCCCTCCTAGCGGGGCGGGACCTGAGCTCGGATTTTGATCTGTTTTGGATCCGAAAGGAAGACGCTTGTGCGGTCAAGGGGTTTAAACGATTACTAACCAAAGTGATGCAGTGAGACGAGGGGTTGGACACGAAGGAAATATGTAAGTAGAAGAACACGACTGAAACGATGGCCCGGCAAGGTTATAACTACCGAATGATAGGCACTACACTACTGGCGTCGAAGTTGGTGAAAGAAGAGGTCAACATTTCTTTGTTGCCTCGGAGTTAACATCTCATTCGGTCGTGCGGCGCAACTGAAAGTGGAAGCACCGAGACCTTGATGACCCTAGTAGTAGTACACCGTGGGTGAAACCAACGACTGCCCGACGCAAAATGGGGTTTGAATAGGAAGAGACGGAGTGAAGTGGAATGTCAGACCCTTTGAAACTGACACCAAGGGCGCAGCCTAACTACTCGCTCTACCCAAGACATCATTGATTATTCAGTTCCTACTGCGGTAAACCCGACTTTGTGATCAAAATGAAAACCCCGCCAGCCATGGCGTCCTCTGCCGTGATTGGTGTCTTTGTTCTTGGTAGTATTCGGTACCGTGAGCGAGAGGGTTGCGGACAGCGTGGGAGGCCGGAGGACACTGCCGTGCTCATTCATTCGGTGATATGGATGAGAGTGAGAGTGGTGAGAATAGTTGTGTGGTGGTGGTGGTTTTACTTCCACGTTGGGGGGCAATTTTGCGCCGTTTACCGCCCACACCTGAACCCTACTACAGTAGGTCGGCCCATGTTGGGTTAGCAGGATCGATGGGAGTGCAGGGGTAGGGCAGTGCATGAGGTGGTGAGCGCAAACTGAGAAGAGCGTGGGATGGGATGGCCTCTGACTAATCGCACAGTGAAAGGACCCCGCCAGCCCCATCCCACCAGAGAGTCCAACCAGTCATCATGGCCGATGGCCGCTCCTCGCTTTCTCGACTTTTCCACTTTCAAGTTCCATTCCCGGTTCCGTCTTCAACGACACGCACACACACTTCCTTCTTCACACAGACACTCGGACCCTGACTGAGAACACCACAGTCAACACCATCGCAAATCATTTTTCGCTTTCTTAGAAAAAGTCTGATTCGGGTGGCATTTGTGTGTTTTGTTGCAATCAAAACTCTTTCCTCCCTCCACCTCCGTGCCCGTCGCCGTCGTTGACCATACCTTGCGAATTTCCCTCCGCCGACAACGGCCCCCTCCAGTTCCAACCCTGACCAACCTTGGAACCTACATCTGACGATAAACCCTACCGGCCAAATACACATCAATAGTATCACGCCGCTGACTCGCTGGAACCAACGGTCTCCGAGCATACTGCCGAATCATTCGACCCCGTTCAAGAACAAACCCACTTGTCTCGACCAGGAGTCGCGGTTCAGGGCTTCGTCCAAGGCTCCAGTCTCAATATCTCCGACTGGGACCGGACCCCATTCGAGTCCCATTCGACTCCAGTTGTCCGGTCCTCGAGAGGCTCCAGTTTGAGAGGCTCCAGTGCCCCGCCCCCGTGGTGCTCCTCCAGTCATCAGCTCCAGCGCTCCCGGCCCCCCCGTCGCTGCCCCTGCGTTGGTCTCTTCGCACGCTTAGTTTCCATCCCGTCCAACACAGTTAAACATTTACCATCCCGGCGCCATTCTCTCCTCCCCAACTCTACCCTTCTTTCTCGACTACACACCAGAACAACCAAGGAAGGTCAATCGACTGCATATCCCCGACACTACTCCAGCACTCGCCTGGCAAGGCGCGCCAGCGTTGTGACGTTCACACCGTCTACACTCTAGAAAGAGAAGGAAGAACTTGGTTATCAAGGGCGCTCTGAAGAATACCACTCGACCGACAACACCACACAAACCATCGTCAAAATGGCCGGCAGTCGCATCAACTTCACCAACTACCTGCGCAACCTGAATGTGCAGGAGCCGCAGGTCGAGGAGTATGTGGCTCCCAACGACGAGGAGCTCGCGCTATTTACCAACACCAACTTCTTTGACTACGAGACGGGCCAGAACACCGACTACCAGGCGCCGCCTGTCAAGCCCGATGCTGTTGTCGCTCCTACTCCCGTCGAGACTGCGGCGACATCGCCCGATGTGCCGACCGATGCCTTCATGACCGATTTCCTGTCGGGCCTCGACCAGGGCTTGGAGTTTGCTGCTCCTGCAGGTTAGTGTTTTTTTTTTTTTTTTTTTATGCGACTTTGTCAATTTCTCATGTCTGTCTGTCTGTTTTTATTCCCTTGTGGCCCGGTTGTGTCTTGGATATCTTTGTGTTTCCTCGGCTGTCATGTTTGTCTCACCTTGCTCGTTTCCCACCTTTGAAAGACCCCTACACCTTGTGGTCGGAGGTACTGGCGAGGATGCATGTCGGGATGCTGCACACAAGGGGCAAGTGTCCTGTGAAGAGAAGGCAAAAAAGAAAGTGATGTGACGGCGGTGGTGGTACCCGGACGGCCCCGGACGTCCTGGGTCGGGAAGGAGGCAGATGAACACCATCAGGGCCATCCATCGCGACTTCGATTAGCTGCAGTCAGCTGCATTCGCCAAAGAGCACCCTTCTCCTTATCGGGAATCCGGCAGCGTGTTCGTCACCCCCACTCTTTTCCGTCCATGCCCACATGGCTCGGACTGTTTCTTGATTGGAAGCGTGTTTGGAGAAACAGAGGCCGAGGTACCTGGCAATGATGGTTCTGGTTGTATGCGGTGGTGGGAGTGCCGAATTTGGGGCTGACAAATGACAACGCTCCCCGAGAATGGTGTCATTTCTCGTGACTTTGGGGGGATTGCACCATCGACGAGGGGTGATCAACAATGGCCGATGCCAACCACCTTACCCGTCTTGGTTACTACGCAGTCTCCCCCCCAGTCTGCGCCTTCCGTTTCCATGTCGACGGCATTCGAATATTGTCATTCGGGATCTTTCTGGCTTTTCTTCTTTTCATTTCCCTGTCTTGTATATCAGATTGTGTCATCCTGTGGTGCAAAACAAGCTTTCTGTATGGAGCGGCTCCGCTGACCATGGCACAATGTCTTCAGCCGACTTCAACTTTGGCGACTTCAGCACCACCTACACCTCGCCCACCATCCCGGCCTACCCAGACACTCTAGGCCAGCTCCAGCCCATTCAGCCCAACCCGCAAGCCGCCTACCCTCCGGTTTCGCAGCACCATGCGTCTCATCACGTTCAGCACCCCCACCAGCCCGGCTATGTCCTTGCCAACCCTCCCCAGCTAGGCGGTAACAAGCGCAAGGCCAGCGATGCCATGTCCGTCCCCCCACTCCTGGCGCTCGCGTCATGAGCTTCGAGGAGGCCTCTCGCCTTGCCGCCGAGGAAGACAAGCGAAAGCGCAACACCGCAGCTAGCGCCCGATTCCGCATCAAGAAGAAGCAGCGCGAGCAGGCGCTCGAAAAGTCGGCCAAGGAGATGAGCGAGAAGGTCACCCAGCTTGAGGGACGCATCCAGGCTCTCGAGACGGAGAACAAGTGGCTCAAGGGCCTCGTCACTGAGAAGCACGGCAGCAAGGAGGACATTCTCAAGCTTCTCCGCGAGTTCTCAGCCCACGCTGCCAAGGTTTCCAAGGATGCTGCTGCGGCCGCGGCTGACAAGGCTGAGGCTGCGGCTGACAAGGCTGATGCTGAACGCGCCAGGGAAGAGAGCTCCATCTGCGTCTCCACCTCTTCACCCAGTTCCGATGAATCCGTCGACTCGAACAACAAGAAGAGGAGGAAGGACTAAGGTCGAGCTTTCGGTGACGATGACCATTTAGTTGTGGAGGAAAAGGGGGTTTGTGGTCAGAGGCTTTTTGGGATAACAGTGGATATACATCATCATACTGTCTGAGGCGTTTTCGCGTTGCTTTTGTTTTACTTTTTGGTTTTGGCCGTTTTTTTTTTGTTTTTTTTTTGGTCTTGTGGTCGTTCGTGGTGGAAAGAGAGTTGGCGGCAGTAGTTCTGCTTGCTTCTTCCTCTCTTTCTTATCACGTTCACTCTCATCAGCATCTTGCTCAGCGGTAATCCCGTCTTGAGCTGCATCTGGCTTTGGTTGGTCGGGTGTATTGCGTGCGCGTGCCTGCATAAGTGCAAATGGGTGGACGGATCGACGGACGGACGAACGGACGGATGGTTGGTACGACATGAATGATATGAGATATCACAATGGTGGCTACAGGACTCCGGTATAACTATATTCATGGCGGTTACAGGACTCCGACATTGGCGGTTACAGGACTCCCCCTCAAACATGAAGATCTCAAAAGAAGATTTTGATGAAACGAGTCATGGAAAGAAGAAGAATACAATGAATGGGTGTGATGTGGAAGAAATTTCGTTTTTGGCTTTAGCTTTTGAAATGCGTGATACCATGTTTGATATTGGGAAATCTGGACGGGAGTAAGGAACATTGACATTTACACATGAATATACGAGAGAAATGCAAAGTATAGTACAAGGAACATAAACAGTCGGCCTTGAAGTTATGAAACCGGGGTTTTAACTCCCCTAACCCACTACTCTTTGTTTGTTTTATCTCATCAGTTGTTCTTCCCTAAACCCTCTTACACAAATACATAGTATATACACAGTTACATCCCCTCCCCATTCACCCTCCCCTCCCTCAAATTCGTCAACCGCAACTGATTCCTCTTGCCCAAAATCCTCAGGGTATTCTCCCTTTCAATCTCCGTCATCTCGGGCCAATTTGCAATCCGCGAAATCGTACCATCTTTATGCACCACCATTGGGCCCAGATTATCCAAGGCAACAGCTTGTCCGTTGACCGTGACTACCTTTGGTTGTTGATCTGGGGAAACGGGGGTGGCCGTCTCTGGAGAGGGTAGAGGGAGGGGGTTATTGTTGTTTTCGAGCTTTTGGTGCTCTACAGAGAGGGGGTCGGCGAGGGGGTCGTCGTTCACTTCTTCTGGGCCGAATTGGGTTGGCCGACGGGGGGTGTCATCAGCGACGGAGGCCGTAGGGTGGGTGGTGGAAGTGGAAGTGGATGAGGTGCTACCGGGGACGGGTGACGTGCTTGAGGTGCCCGTTGCGGGGTCCGCTTTGGTGGTGGTGGTAGTAGAAGTAGTATCCATCTTTTGTTGCTGTGACTGCCCTTGCGGAAGGCTACTAGTAGCTCTAGCTCGGGAAGTGTGAATGAGCCTCTTTGAGCCTCTGAGAGTCTTCTGAGTGAGAGTCTTCTGAGTGGCAGGTACTGGAAGTGGTACTCTCTGGGTGCTGCTGATAGGAGTGCTGATCTGGGAGGGGAGGGGTCGCGTTGAAAATCTGCGCGCTGCTGCTGCTGGCCTGAGGAGGCTATACATCACAGCACGGTATGTTTCTTCTTTATGGCCTGTTGATGACCACTCTCAAGGTATGGGAAGAGTGGTTAATGAGACCAGCTGGGTTTGGTCTGTTTGGTGGTAGTGGTAAAACTCCTCCACCGAAGCCGAGGGTTGAGTGCTTGTGTTTAGGTACCTCTAGGTAAACCAAATTGGGAAGGTACCGGTACCTCAAGCTCAAGCTCAAGAAGCGTGGGGGTCTCGACCGTCTCTGAGAGGTCTAGGTCTATTTCTCCCCCAACGTTGCTTTGAGATTCAATAGTCGGCTCGTAGGCAGTCGTGGTGAGCGAAATGGTGGTGATGCTCGGTTGCGGTTTAGTGTACCACACGGTGATTCGTCCGGACTGGCTGTCCGGCTGGGTGACTAGCAGCTATTTGCAAGCGTTGACTAGGCTTGTCTTTGGTGTAGTTGTATGTAGATGAATGGATCTGGTCAAGAGCAAGCCGCGGTTGAATTGTGAGATGCGGCGGACGCGGATATGGATCTTGGACAAGGATGTGCGCAGCAGAAAAAGATAAACCCCTTGTGATGTGTTGTCAGACTTGTTTTGGGTATGGCTTCAGCGTTTTGATGGGTGTGGCTCGTCGCGAGCTTCAAGGAAGAAATGACATGAAATGAGATCAGGAACGGATGTCAGAATTGATGGCTCTTGTGATTTAGGTCTACAGTGAGATGGTCAATCAGCTCACGAATAGTTCCAATTATACCTCGTCAACGTTGTCGTTGGGTTTTCTTCTTCTACTGCCGTCACAAAAAGCTGGAAGCGTCTAGAAACCTCACCAAACAGTGGAATTTTTTGGAGCGCCCGCTGAACGGCTTCCCGTCTGGCGCTGAACTGCAATGACCACATGTGGTCCGTGCGTCAGGCGACTCCATCTGCCCCTGACAGAACGGGGATCTTGAGAGCGTGGAATGTCAACAATGCATCGCATCGACACTAAAGCATTGCGATGGCATTTGGACGTGCAATGCATCGCAAATAACTGCAGTGAAAAGTGGCTGTTGAAAACCTTCGCATCGATTGATAATTACATCGCCATGATCAGTAGTTGCTGTCTCCAGCCATCGCCAATGACATCTTCCCTCCGATACTATCGATTCGGGTACTCAATCATCAACTTCGGGTCCAGCTTCACTCACCAGCTCTGGCAGTACGGACAAACAGGTAGCACCGAGCTGTCATTGAGGTGGTTGGCGCTTGCAAGCTGCGGCGGATAAGTAGACCATGGCTTCTCGTTCGGGCGAACGATTGGCGTCCAGACTGAGCACATCAGTCGGGGGTCCTCTTGCGTGATGAGCCTTCCCGCTCGCGCTTGCCTCTTTGTTCTCCGCACTTGCATCCGTGCCTGGACGGCAAGCTCTTGGTATGTGCTTACGACGGAAACTTTCCTTTGCACCTGCCTGCCTTCCGTCGCTGGGGTCCCGGTTTCTGGAAGGAAGAATTCCGTGTGGACTTTCTTTTCCTTCACGTCCTCGGAAGATAAGCTTCATTGGGAAGGGAGAGGTCGATCATCGCGCGGAGAATTCATTGCGGGATGGTTCCTCGTACGAGGCTCGCACAGTGAGAATCAATAGCTTGCATGATTCTCTGGCCGTGAGGTCTTGTCCCGTTGCTATCCGCTTATTGTGTTGCTGTTAGGACAGACGAAAACTCTTCTGCATGCCGATATGCAACAAAATTTCCTGCCTGGCGACCTATATGAGGGCAGGTATGGCAGCAAATTGGCCACCGCGTGGGGGCATCCCTCTGTGTAGAGGTATCCTTGAGGAGAAGGTACCTTAGCTGTGACGGATGTGTTCGTGACAAGGAGAGCAGGCGAAACGGGCAAGACAGGCAAGACAGTCCAGGGAATGACGCTCACTGTTGCCGCCCGAAGGCGACCACCCCGCGAGCTCGTAACGCAAATGAGCTGAACATGACAGAAGGAAATTCTATCTGGACATGGACTAGGGTCTTGGAGTGCCCTTGAGCACGGGGGTGAGTGCTGATTTTTCCTTGAAGCATGTAATTCCTCACCTTCAAAGACTGAGCGCTTACGTACAACTCTGCCTGGGGATCCAACCGTGTCTCATCCGCTTCTTCACCTTCCTTACCTAGGGTACCTCTAGGTATAAATCCCATGGTCCAACTTTTGTCTGGTGAGTCCTTGAGATGCTCTCCGGCGGGCCGAGAACGCCCACATTCCGGTCAATCGGACCTGTATTCATGTGCTGACGCTGTCCTCAAGGCTGTTGACGCACCAGTCCACTTCCATCACAGCGCCGCTGCTGGCATGAACACCACTGGACGGGCAGAGAACTTGCCGTACCAACCACGCCTCAGTCTTGTTCACCAGCACAAAACCCTGCTACACCATATAGACGCCACATCTCGCGCGCCACCATCCCCGGCATCGTTCCCACACAACTACTCTCCCTTCTGAAGAGCCTCATCAGGCCGAAGAAGACCCCCATGTTCCAAAGGGGACCTCATGCTCTGTGCCCTTTACCTCCAGACATCAAGTGTCCCTTTTGTTTGGTATCAGTGTGCTTGTGACTCGCTCACAGCGCTTTTGGAAGGGCGATTTATTGATCAAATTCGTCCAGCCATTGCAAACTGAACCGCATGGCTGCCAGTTGAGGCCATTGAACGTTCACTCATCTCCTTCTCGTCAAGTTTTCCTCTCTCTGCTGATTTCTTCCAGTCTTTCGTTCTCTAAGGAGCCCTGATACTCCCCAAGTTCTCAATCTTGAGCCTTCGCACTGCTCCAGGAAAGCAGATGCCAAGTACTAGAACCTACTTGCTTTGAAGATCTCACAACGCCGTGTCTCAAGCGCTAGTCTGGATGACAGTCTAGTTTGCAGCCTGGGATTTTTTCCCCCTTTGACATACAAGTAATTGTGCGGGCATGTAAAGCCAGCTCGGTCAAGTGTTTGAAAGGAAGTCAGTCCTTACTAGTAGATATAGATTTGTCAGTGCTTTCTCCATGTTTCTATTCAACGTCGAGCATTCTTTCCCCTGATCCCGATGATAAGTCACAATACGTGATTACCACCTCATTTTCGAGCTGGATGCTGACTGTAAACTGGTTTTCCAACGTCCATGCGTACAAAACAGTACGAGCCGGCACCTTTGTGAACATTTAATGTTGGGTCGAAGTAAACAAACAAACACTGTGGTCTGTGGCACGAAGCAATGCCTCGACATGCTGCCAAAGTCCCAAGTGTTCGCACGGTACGGCTCAGGGGCTCGAAACCAACAACCCGTCTGAAAGGGGCCATCATTGATTGGATCCTTAATGAATTCACAGGAAACAGAAAGATGGCATGCGAATTCGATCAAGGGGAGATATGAGGTCATCATGGGGCTCAAGTCAATCGTTGGTACGGCACAAAGCATACGAGGTCCAACAACACGCTTCGAACAACGACCAACTTTTTCCATTTGGTATCGCGCTGGCGTGTACACACCTACGAGAGAGATGCCTAGATCTCATCGGGATGTTTCCGGTGCCCAAGTAGTGCCGGAGCAACAAAAGTATGTTCATTTTGCAACATCCAACGTGAAGCTGTTGGCTTGAAGTGTAAGAAATTGCGTGGCCGATGTGAGTGACGCTTCACTATGGGATTTGGGTATAAATCGGGTGGGATAACGCAGAACTAGATATCTATTGTTCCCAACAACATTACCGCAACCATTCCACTCACGAGTCACAAACATTCACACAATCGTAACTCTACCATCATGGCTAACAACGGACTTCAGGGACAGGGGCTTTTCACGCCTGGCGGTTCGGGAGAAGGCAACTTCAAGGACCCATGCGTCTTCTCGGAATCCGACAAAAAGCGTCAAGTCGATGCTGAACTGGTTGTCCCAGCCCCAGATCAAATTTCCAAAGGCGAGACCATCTCATGCATAACCGTGTTCAAGGTCTCGAAACCCGACCCTGAACACTGGCGAGCCGACGAAAGCTTTGTCTTCCTTACCATTGACCATCCAGAGGAAAAGAGCAATTGGGATCTCGTAACGAGCCATCAGCAACCCAGCGAAAGGAGATTTCGCGTCCGTTTCCTCCCTGACGACCCAAAAAACATGTATTTCCTTGTCGACAACATCCAGTTCCCCGCCGCCGCCGCCCACAAGTTCAACTTGATGTTCAGGGTGTTGGTGCGCCCTCAGTATATCCTGTCACATAATCCCCACACGAATGAAATTGAGCAGGACCCAGTCATACTGCCCGATGAGCTGTGGGACGGCGGAAAGCCGGACGGTCCGCAGAGGCACACGTACGTCGCGGGTATTTTCGAACTCCACCAATGGTTGGAAGTGAAGGAGGAAGCTGGAGTGAAAAGACAGAATCCTTTGTGTAAGTTTGCCTCGGCGTTCCGTACTGCCTTCTTCTGATGGCGAATACTGTCCACTAACCAGTTGGTGTTTTCCCAAAATGATGCAGCTCCAGAACAAGAGGCCATCGTAGCCAGGCTTGCGGCTATTCAGGTTCCGCCGTTTCTCCCCGAGGCTAACTAATCGCAATGGCGATCAGCGAGCTTGAAGTCCCCATCCAGGGGCAAGAGCTTCGTGGGAAAGAAGCTCTGTATGAGCTCGGTTAAGAAGCTGAAGGAAGGAAGAAAGTAGGACACAGGTCGGAACAGACCAGGTGAAGGGTCAACACACTCAATGAAGGACAGGGCTGGGTCGGCTGGACTGACTGGGTGATTACTCTCATGGTTTTTTGTCGGGAGGAAGGGACAATAGCTTGAGACGGGATCGCTTCGTTATGTGCTATGATGTTTCCCAGGAAACAACACATGCAGGAGCCATTGCCCGTCTCACCATTGGAGACATGACAGGCAAATACCTACCCTCAGAAGGTGCTCTTGGGTTGGGATAGTTAACGTTACTGCATTTTTTGGCTTTAATAAAAACACACTCGTTCAATCACAGACTTGACATGCCTCGAGTGAGTATTCTATTTGCCATACTATTCGAAATATCGAAGAAGATTTTTAAAGAAAGTACTTATCTTGCGCTATAGCACATAACATCCTCCTTAGACTACATTATAATGTCTGATGCAGTAAAAACTGGAGGTGCATGTATATTGTGCATGTCCGAGCTTCTAATAAACACTGTTATTCCACTTGCTAGGAGAATAGCACGGGTATATAAGAACAAAGAATTTGACTTTCTATTGAGTAACGCTGTAATACTATCATCTTTAAGTCTTTAAGGCCTATTTTCCAATCTTAAAGGCCTTGCTTAGACAAAGAAAGGCATTAGAGAGTACCTATCACGGCTTCCATGACGTCGCAGACCCCTTGCTATTGTCCTACAATGCTTTAAACGAAGGACAGGTTCTCTTTTTAAAGGCTAATAAGAGCTAAGTACTACCTTCCAAGGCATTCAAGACGGATTGCAATGGCTTTTGTCTTCGATACCTAGTATACGCTTTGACTATTTATAATACTAAGATGGTAGTCCACAGGTGACAGAACTTGGTAATCCCAACTCGTGGCTTTGGCAGTGTGGATGACCAGGATCGAGAGCTAAAGACGATCTTGGAATAGATCGAACAATGCAGTGATAGGATCTGCCTGAAAGAAGAGAACATAGAGGATCCCATCCAGAAATCCGCTGCTTCTTCCAAGAAGGTGCAGCCACTCGTGGTGCTCAAGGTGGATTCGATGGAAGAGTTGGAGGGTGGTTGATTAGAAGAAAGAGGAAGACTAAGACCAAAAGCCCAGAAAGACAACTAAATACCCCGCCAATATCTAAGACACCATTGCACCTTCCAAAGGGTAAAACGCCAGGGCGGCTAAAGCAGCATTTTTAATGTTTTGGTAGGTGCTACGTGAAGGTCATGCAATAGTAGGTAAATCCTGTACTCGTTGATCCGTCCAATCCTGACAAACGTGCCATACGGATGCCTCTCCAAGAGAGTTTTGGAACCACATGGTTTCGACCGGGTGTGGCGCCCACTGGATCTACCAAGAAGGCTAATGTAATGCGTTGGCTGTCCAAGTTTACAAGAGCGATCTTACTGCTGCGATGGGTTGCGTGTTTAGGAAGCTGCTGAATTTCGTGCAATTATTCAAGCAGATAATTGCAAGAAATGATTTGAGGAGGGAGGGGACATGAGGCTCGAAAATTGCGGCTGGCACGGCGGAGAAGGTACAATCACAATATAGCCCTTGATCTTGAGCAGGAAATCCGGACGTTATCGCACGCATCGTCTTCTATTACTCCAAAGCGCTCAATGTCCGGTGCACACCATCTTACCTTTGCCATCCGGCGCGTGATGCTGAACACAGCCTGTATACTTCTCTCAGCCAAGAGCTACCCACCTTGGTTAGTGATGAACAGGCGCTACGGCCTGCAGCATAATGCCCGGTCTACGATATCGAAAAAGGGATGTTGCACGTAACATCTAACCAACCGACTTACGCGCCGTAACTCCCTCTCAACAGAAACTCGAATCACCTGTATTGAGTCTGCCCATTCGACGTGAAAGCGGTATCAACCTGTCCGATAGGAGTGCGTCATCGCATTCAGGAGAGAAACACAGGGTGAGCAAGACGAAGCAGGACGGGCAGGACGCGATGGACAAAGAGGCAGAATGAGCAGGATATGGATGTTATTCAAGAGATAGGGAGCAATGAGGGAGGAACAAGGCTGGGCCAGATGGACTGGCTAGGTGACTACTTCCATATCTTTCACTTGTTACGGAAAAAAGGTAAACTAATTTGGGAAGGAACTGCTTGTTGCATAGTAATGTTCCGGGAATTGACATCAGCATGAGTCATTGTCGTCTTAACTCTGGAAGGCATGACAGATAGACAGCTACCCTCGGAAGGTGCTTTTGGAATCAGAAGTCAGATATTTTTGTTCTCTTTGTTAAATCGCTTGTTCCACGAAAAGTCTTTGAACAATTAGAGCGCCCTCTCTTCACTGCATAATTGCTTGACGGCATCATCGATAATTCCCTCGGCTCTACATGGTCACTATCATTGATCAAACCAGCTATTATCATCACAGTATCCACTACTTCATACATTCCCCTAAATTTCATCACCCACACAGCAGTGCCTTCATCACTACAGAAGTACCCTCAAGATGAGCGACATCACCACATCTCGATGGTACGATACCCGCAGTGACCACATAAGTCACGAACTCCGGAAACGCTTCCCTCAACCCATGATACGAAGCCTAGATGGCCGCCCCGTCGCTGCTAGACTCATCGTCCCACCCCAGCCTAAAGCCGTCTCCGGTGGGCTGATCGAGTATGCTGCTGTTATTGCCGTCAACCCGCGACCAAACCCGGCGCTCTAGGGGAACACCGTAGTGCACATGAAGGTAATTCTCGTCGAAGACGAGGAAGAACAGCAACCGAAGGAGGTGGTGATGAAGTCGGTAGAGCAGGTGGATAAAGACGGGCATGTGATACACCACATGGATGACAGAGGCAACTACCTAGATAAAGAAGGTAATGTGCCCCTGGAAATGGCACCATATCCGATTCCGATCCGGCTGCCTCTGTCCCTGTCCTGTTTCTCTACCCTTGCCAGTGGAGAGACCGAAAAGAACCAAGGCCTACTTGGATACTGCCTCATAATACTTCTTTCTCCCTGTCCCCCAGTGCCTTCTGCGGACACAGACCACACTCAATCAAACATAAACGAGACACAAATTCTCATGCAAGATGTTTTGGGGCCTGACTGACCTTCTCTTAGGGAAAATTCTCCCCCTGTTCCATCCAACCACTAGGCACCCAGTTACTGTCCAGTCGAAACCTGTTCAGCAGAAACAATGCATCCATCATTACAACGCCAAAAGCAAAGCCGTTACAACCATCAAAGCGGACACAACCGTGGAAAGAAACAACTCCGCGAGGCCTGCACCCCCGTCTGAGAGGAATCCAGTAGATCAAGATGCGGACAAAGGTACCATGAACCACGAAGCCGGAGACAATGTTAACCACAAAGACGAGGCCCCAGTTATTGAGGCAGATACTGTTGCCGATCAGGGCACCATTGTTGATGCAGACATTATCACCGACACCTCGACGCACCGCACCCCTTTTGGCAAGCGCGCCTCTCGCGGCCCGCTATGGATACAAACGCTCAGTTCCTCCAAACACGGCCTTCTTTCCATAAACGAGAATGACTTGTATTTCGTCTTTCACCACGTGAGGTTCCCGTGCAAACAGGGAAAATATCGAGTTGTATTCACCGTGATAGTGAACGAATACCGGGATGACCAAGATAACAGGTTCCCGCCCGTGCATTTGTGGCCGCAAGGAGAGTACCCAGGTGAGAAGATAGCCAGGTCGTATCAGGGCTATAAAGCGTGCATGTTGGAGGTTGTGCACAACGTGGAAGTGATATGTTTTCGGCAATGGACAAGGTGGCTTACTGCTGATTACTGGAGTAAGTACTTACCTCCTGCCTGCCTTTTCTTGCTATTTTGGCTTTGGGTCGAGGACAGAACTTGACTTGGGCGACTATTTACCTTTGAAGGAACGTCCCGTTTTTATCTGTGTTGTTTCGTCGAACTGTTTCTTTGGTTGAACCTTTTTGGGGCTGATGTTGGATTGTGTAAAACAGGCCCGATCCGTTACGAACACTTTAAAGCGCTTTTCAGTACTGCAGTCCCTTATACCCCGAAGCGATGGAGCAAAGAGAGGGAACAGCTGGCGTCGCTCCGGAGGTGTTGTCACGTCCACATGCTTCAAGCCCAAATCGAAGCCCAAGGACCAGTCGACAATATTCAGAACCCTATTCTAGCGCAAAATCCATTTGAAGAGGAAATGCGTGCCCTCGATGCACATGTTCAAGCTCAGGCAAGGAAGGCGTTTCTTAACAAGCACTTGCCACGCATTTAGTTGTCTCCCTTTTATATTCATGATTCAAGGTCTGATGTTGATTGTGGTGGTGAAAGACTGGGCTCACGGACTTGTGAAGAATAAAGGGTGGCATTATGGACGTGGGCAAAGGTGGCTGATACTCGCTACGGTAGCGGGTGGGTCAAGATTCTGGAAGGTGAGCAATCGTCCGGATTGTTGGTCGTGGTGGTGAAAGGCTAGTTCTATGGTCGTTTGACACAGGGAGGCAGTCTGGCTGATGGGGTGGAATTGTCAGTAAGCCTACCACAATACAAAGTATGTCCACGCAGCGAGATTGTATTATAGCGGAATATATTTGTATCCTTCGTGAAGAACCACATTCGTCAGGCTGGTTAAAGGTTCTAGGCGGTGAATTTGTAGGCCTGAGGTGTACAAGCTTGCTTCCATAGAAAACGAGAAAAAGAGGAGTTGAAAAACTAGAAAGACAAACCAAAGTAACAGGAAAAAGATAACCGGCAATGGAAAACTGAAGAGAGGACAACTTGCGGGTTTCTAAACTTGAAGGGCCACGATTCACGAGCTGGTTTGAGAACAGAAATGAAAAGAAGAAATCAAAACCCACACTGAGAAAGAGAACCGGTAGAAGTGGAAACAGACGACGAGAGCGAGTTAGTAAAAGGGCAGAGATGTTAGATAGAAGCGATGATACTGATCGTCGGGTGTGATATGTTTACAGCCAAGTACACCTCTGGGAGTGGTTGACCCTGACGCGGCACATTTGCCGTGATCGCCCGGGGGGAGCGAGGTCTGCCACCGGTCTGCTCGTCACCAGAGCGTTATCACATGTTAGATCCGGCACTCACGATGTCTCAAAGCCATGTCGTTCATCAACCGCCCCTTTTCCCGTCGTTGGTGATAGTTGTATTCGAAATTGTTGGAGATTTGTCTGAAGCAGTGATTCGCGCGTAGGTGACCAGTATGAGATAACTGCCAACGTTAAGCAAGTTAATCATCACAATCGCCGAGTCGTTGCAAGAATTTCGAATCCCAAAGTACTTGACCAGTTTAAACGGTCTATCTACTATCCCAATTCCCAACGCAGATCTGTCTAGTGCACGACATGGTTCCGTGATTCCCACATCCCTTCTCTCGACCCCTCTGCCTACCCCCCACCGCACCAACTCTCCATATACCCATGTCCCTAAAGCTTACTCCCCTTCACCTCCCTCCTCCCCTTCTCCTTCCTCTCCTTCTCCCCTTCCACAATCCTCCTGACCCTCTCCTCCTCCCTCTCGTGTCCCTCAGCCGTCAAATACCCCTCCACCGTTTCTCGGTACATCTCCATCTTCATCAACCCATAAATCCCCGTCTTGCCCTTCTCCGTTAATTTCCTCTCCCCCACAAACTTGATAACGTCCTCCAACCCCCCCGTCAAATCCACTATTCCGGCCTCCATCGCCTCCGTCCCACCGAACCGATGCGCCTCCAATACCAGCTGTCGATAAATCCCCGGCGTGCACTTCGCTCTGAATATAGCACTCATAGCCGGCTTAAGCGGCACCCCAAAGTCCAGCTCGTTAATGCACGCGAATCCGCGAGAGGGGTTCATGATGCGATAGTCCATGTGCATGGCGAGCATCAAGCCGCCGGCGAAGGCGTGTCCGTTGAGAAGGGCGATGGTGGGCATTGGGTAGGTGAGAAGCCGGCGGAAGAGGGGGTAGAGCGAAAAAGGCAAGAAGGAAGGGTCGGAGAGGGCGTGGGTGAGGTCGAGACCGTTGGAAAAGAATTTGGGGAGGGAGGAGGTGGTTATGACGACGCCGGAAGGAAAAGAAAATTCGAGGGTGTCGAGTGCGGAGAGGAGGGCGGTGCAGAGGGGGGAGGTGAGGCGGTTGTCGGGGGGGGAGGAGAGGGTGAGGATGTAGATACGGGAGTCGGGAGGGGAGAGGGGGGTGGTGCAGGTTAGGGTGCCGCCTGGTTGGGAGCCGGAGGGGGCGATGGGGAGGGTGAAGAGGGTTTTCATGTTTGGTTTTTGGTCGGTGGCCATTTTGGTGGTGGTGGTGGTGGTGGTGGTGGTGGTTGTTTGTGGTTGTTTGAGGGAGAAAGAGGTGAAGTTGGTTTAAGGTTGGTAAGAGGTGTCTTGGCGACGGCTGGTTGGTTGGTTGGCTTGGTTGACCGTTGTGAGATGAGATGGAATTGATCAAGATGATGGTTTGTTTTGTGAGGCGAGTTACTCGAAACGAATGAACATGGAATTCGCGAGGTGAAGTCCGTGTAATTTGTTGATGTTTTGAGAGAAAAGTGTCTTTGTGTACACTACTTGGCACGCATCAATCAGGCCGGTCGTCGTATCAGTTATTATAAGTGGGTGTACACAGCCGTTTGTTTACCTCGGCTTCTTGTTGGAGGTAGGAACGCGTGATTGGCACGAATTATTCAACTCACCGGCAGGCAGATGGTCCCGACTTGTTGGCAATTCAATGAATGCAACCTTGTCTGAATATCCTCTTGAGCGTTCAAGGCTTGTCAAAACAAAAAAAGGTTCAGACTGTAGTGTACCTGAGACGAGCCAAGTCTGACATGTGATATACGTGTGCGGTTCGGCTGACTTTCGGCACGGCGGAAGAGGAAGAGGGTATGTACTTCATCCGGTGGTGGCGACGCCACGACGAACCCCACGGGGACAGTTCCGAAACTAGCCCTCCACTTTTCGGGGGTATCGTCCTTGGCTGTAGTCATCACAAGTAAATGACACACATGCTTTGAATACATCTGGAGAATATAGGGGCTTCATGAAAATGCCCGTGATTATCGATCATACAGAGATATTCAAGAGTGTGCCGTCTTCTCCAACTGTATCACCTAATAGCCAGCTTGGCATCACAATCAACAATCACTGCTTAACACAAGCCGATACAGGAGAGATTTGGATATCCATCATTCCCAAAACGCCAATCCTGAAAAATGTATCCCTAGCGTAAGTACTTGTACGAAAAAAAACTAACTGGAAACAATCCTTTCGGAGGTTCTGCATTTCGTGCGCGTCCTGACAGCTTACAGCAAGCAAGCAGTAGCAGCGGTTCTGTTTGCATCGTATCCGATCCTTTGCGTCTTTCCCTCCTTTCACCATTCGTCAACCCCATCCTCCTATCATCGACCCACTGCCAAGACATCTCGTACATATACCCCCGGCTCATCCTCTTCCGCCTCCTCCTCTTCAGTAGCACCACAATGCCCCCTCCACCTCCAAATCACATCCACCCTCGACTGCTGGCACCTCCTAGACAGCCGAGTACCCTCCCCGACTCCCACTGCTTTGCACGGTGTTCAACACCCGTCTCGTCCAGTCCTTGAGCAGGTAAGGAATGTCGCGGATCGTGTCCCCATGCGGCAGGAGATCCCAACCACGCGCGCCGTATCGGTTGTAGTTGAGCCAGGAGCCAAAGATGAGGTAGGCGGCAATGCCTAGGAAGAGGCTTTTTGTGTTTGCCTTTGTTAGTCTTGCGCTGCAGGATAGGATAAGGGGGAAAAAATAATGGGAAGAAAAGCAACGTGGGGGTAGGGGCATGACTTACAGAACCACAAGCCAAGTAAAGAACCCCCAAGACTTGTTGATATCCTCCTCGCCATTCCCTCCCTTGTTGCCGCCGCCGCCGTCCTTGTCGCCATCCTTGGGTTTGTCCTCGTCCCCGTCCTTCGGCTTATCCTTGTCATCACCATCTTTAGGCTTATCCTTGTCGCCGCCACCACCAGAAGCATCCAAACAAGCAAACTTGGTATTCCACGTCAACTCAAGCTGATCCACATCGTCACCAACCCGCTTATATCCATTCCACACCAGCGCCGTCGCCGTCCCGTTCTTGAGTATTTGCGTCTCGGGGTATCCATCGTCGCCTTCTTCCTCTTTCTTTTTATCGTCATCTCTTGTCGCAAGAAGAAGCTTGGGCTTCTCGTATTGAATGTCCTCGCTGCTTTCTACTTCGCCTTCCGTGCCAGTTAGAGTCTTGTTGCAGACTAAATTGATGACCACCTTTTGCTGTCGCCCTTGGTGTTTGTATCCAGAAAACGTCAACTTGACGCCGCCGTCTTTGTGGTCGGACGAGGAATCGAGCTTGGTGGCTTCGTAGTGGAAGGAGGAGCCGCCGGCGAGGGTGGTGGCTGTTTCGAAAGTGGATTTCTTGTCCGAGGGGGAGTAGTGGTGTTTGAGTCTGCAGACTGTTTTGTTTGGCCGTCTGTTAGTATTTTTTTTTCTTTCATTCTGTTTTATTTTCCCTCCCACTTGGTTCGTTTCCGTCGCGATCAGGTGAGAGAGAGAGAGAGAGAGAGAGAGAGAGAGAGAGAGAGAAAGAGAGAGAGGGAAATAATAACGAACGAACCTCGAGCATCCCCCCCACATTGCTCCTCCTTCTTTAGGTCCCCCTTCCTCTTCAGCGGCGCACAGATGTCCAGCGTGTACGTATAATTGTAGTATGCCGGCGGATCGTACTCGTTCGTCACCACCGTGTGCGGCCCGCCGAGCTCGCCAAAGTCGTACTTGTGTCCGTCCACGACGATTTCCTTGCAGCGCATTATTTCGGCCGGTTGGGCGGCGGCAGCGGCAGTGGTGATTGTCGCGGGGAGGCCACCGGCCAGAAGGAGGACGGTGGCTGCTGCGGCGCCGGCTAGGGGGGTTGTTGGGGGGCGCATCTTGGTGGCTGTTTGGTCTGTTTTGTCTAGATGACGAGATGTGTGCTGCTTGGTGGTGGAGGTGTCGGCGGTGTAGGCCTCGATGAGATGGATGCCCTGACGATGCGGCGAACAGCGGGCGGGCGGGCTATATGATCCGCTTCGCGATCGTGTCTATTTGCCCAAAGCCCCTCGAGGTGGTATGTACGTAGAAGAGCTGTTTGTTTGTAGAGCAGTAGAGGGGTCCCGGCCCGGGGTCGGTTAGAATAGGTACCTCAGGGTAGGTTGGTTCGTTCAATCGATCGGCGCGGCTCGGCGGGTGTTAGAGAAAGCTAGAGAGGCTTCAAAGCGAAGCTAGACAGTTGGCAAGGTCCAAACCTAACGTTCGACGCGGGTTAGCGGGTCAGGGTTCCAACGGCGGCGGCCGTCAGGGTGTATGTATGTACGTCTGTTTCTGTTACGTCGAGAATGGAACGGAATTATTGACCCCTGTCTTGGACGTGGGATAGATGATAGTATCTCGATCCTCTTGGTCGTCTTCAGTCGTTCTTCGCTGGAATGGAATGTCAGATTCCGTCATATGAACCGGGTTTCCTCAGTTCTCTTTGGGCCGTTCAATTAGGCTGGCTGATAGGGTCAAGTGCAAAGGCACAGCACCCGGGCCACCCGAACGGATCAGTGCACTAACAGCGGGTCAAAAGGACGGGGTAGGTCTAGGTACCGAGTTGCCCGGTTACGTAAGCAGCCGACCCGGGCTTTCCCCCAACCCCTGAGATCAAGGGAAACGACAAGCAACATCAACAATGCGTGCGGACTGTACGGCTTTGACGGAGATGAATATGGTCCCAAGTATTCCATTAGCATATATACTACCCCCTACGGTATTTCCTTTCCATGCTCCATCCAGCCTAACCCAAAAATGCCCCCATGCATGCCCTATGTTCCGCACCGTACCGTGCCCTATCCCATGCAAAGTGGAAAGCCAAACGCTTGAATGAATGATAACCATCGTTATGAGAATGCTGTCCCTTGAAACACCACCCATGATTCTTGTATGTTGTTCCTAACCGGCTGCTGCTGATTAAACAATCCGGTCCCAAACACCTGCATCATATATCCCACCACCTCTATCACCACCACTCGTGCTCTCCTGGCTCTCTACCATCCCATGCTTTGCTTGCTCATCATCACCAGCCCGTTTCCTCTTCAACGTACTCTGTGGCCTTGAACTCGGTGAATCCCAAAGATTGCGCCCATCGCCCAACCCCGAGCTCAGCCCCTGACCAAGTTTCGACGGTTGTGCCGTCTTTTTCTTCTTGGTCTTCTCACCCCTCGCTTCGGCCAGCTCCTCATCGATATCCCAACTATCAATGAAATCGTCCAAGTTATCCATGACTTCCGTGACTTCGTCCATTTCTTCGACTTGAGGCTGGGAGTCCAAGCCAGGGAGGGTGGGAAGGCGGAATCTGTCGTCGTCGTCGTTGTCATCTTTCTGTTGTGGTTCGGATACTGCGTCTATCGGGTCTTGCCAGATTCCCCTACAACCTGAAGAAGAGACTGTCGGGATGCCATCCTGCAATACCTGCCGTCTGTTCAAGTTGAGGTTCTCAGTCTGCCGATCAGCTTGCACAAACGCATTGGCCATCCCGTCCACAGCCGGACTGCCGCATGTTTGTTGCGATTCGCTTGGAAGGAGACGTTTGGCTGGTCGGGAGGTGCCCGTGCTTCGAGCATTGCCACTAACATCTCGAAGCATTGGAGACTCCCTCTCATCATCATCACCTCTATACCAAGCAGCAGTAGGTGTAGTAGTAGGAGGCTTAGGGGCAAGCCGTCTCCGACCAGACACAGCGGCAAAGTGCTTCCCGAACCTTTGGCTTTCCTTTGGCAGTGAATCCACACTTGGCATCGAGATGTTTGGTGGTGGAGAGGCTGCTCGTCTGGGGATGCCCCTATAGTTTGCTGTGGGCGCTGAAACAGAAAGGATAGATCTCCGGGGTCCGTGAATCTTCATCCTGTTGAGCGATGAGGGCTGGTCAGGATCTTCCATATCCACATCCATGTCCGCTGACATGTCAGGGTCCATGTAGTCCACTTCACCGGGTAAAGGAGCCCAGGAGACACGCTTGGTCCTTCTGCTAGGGGCAGCCAGCTCAACGCGACTCGAATCCCACGGGTTCGTAACCACCGCTTCCTCCAAAGCTTGCGTATCTGGCAAGCGACCGTCTCCTAGTGACAACCGCGGACGCTTTGCCGGTCTCTTCGGCGACGGCGTCATAAAGTGCTTGAAGGACTTGATGGACATTGTAAACTCTGGCGTTGGGAGACTCGATCTCTTGGTCTCCGGCGTTGAGGGCGGATGAGGAACCTGGAGTTGGGGTGTTTCGGCTTGGGCTGGCGGCACCGCTGTCTCTTTTTCAGTATGGGAGTCGTTACCAGGAACAGGAGGATAGGATAATACTGGAAGGACGGGATCCTCCATGTCCACAAAGCAAGAGCTGGAGGCGGGAGAGGATAGAGGTGACGAGGCGGGGTTGACACATCGTGGTTCTGGGGCCGGAACAGCGAGGAAAGCTATTTGCGAGTCGCCCTTTACCCAAGGGCTCTGCTGAATCACGGGCTGGACAGCTTGAGCGAGGGCTTGGCTGGCGATGATTGAGAGTGGCGACCGGCTTGGTTCCGGGTTTACTGGCGGTTCAGGAGTCACGGAGGAGCGAGGCTGTACGAGGACTGGTATCTCTAGGGCTGTCGTAAAGGGGTTCTGCAAGCCCGGAGATGGTCGAAGGGGCGTTGCGTTGCGGGAAGTTGGATTTGTTATATGTCGAAGATCCATGACGTTGACACTTCTCTTTGGTTGATCGGGTGTGATGCGTTGCACTGATGTGTCATGTCCCGTTATCAATGGTTCTTCTATGCTCGCCACGGGTGCTGAGTTCTGGGTCTGGACTTGAGATTGGTGAGGGAGGCTGCTAGCCCCAGTTGGCCATTCGAGTCGCACTTGATTGATCGTATCATCGTAGATGCTCTCTTCGGATACTGTAGCCTCCGGTGCCGATTGTGGTTGGGCTTGTGATAAGCGACTAGATGATTGCGAGTTAAGAGCATTCTGCCCGGCATTCGTTGGCTCTCTGTCATTCGCAGGGTGCTGATTGATCGTGAAGTATTCTAGACTTCCTTGTTCTCCATGGCTTTCCACTGATTCGGAGACAGATACGGTTTGCAAAGGCCTTGGCCCTGCTTGGGCAAAGCTCGCTGTTGCTGGCAACACTCCAAGAGCCATATCGGGCGTAGAGTCTTGGGTACTTGGTTGTCGTTGGGTTTTGGCCCAGAGAAGTTTTCTCACGTTTTGGACAGGCTCTTCGATGGACTCCTCCTCTTCTTCCTCGAAAGACGTAGCAGGACTCGATAGCTCGGATGATGAGGGCGATGTTGGGTCGGTAGTGAGACTCTTTTGTTCTCCTTCTGTTATCTCAGGAACAGTGTGGGTGACGGCAGCATTTGATTGAGGTCGATCAGTCGCAGAAATGACGCGTATGGGGGATTCTGGCTGTGTCACGATGATCTGTTGGTGATGAGCAGGCGTATCAGACGGATCGTTGGGCGAATCCCTTGTCTCGTCAGGCTCGGACGACGGATTGTCCACCAAGATGCGCTCTGGTTCGATTGTTTGATGCTCGAGGGTGATCGATCCAGCCTTGTTTGACCTTTTTTCATCATGCGAGATGGAAGTAGAAGCTGGCGCATGCAAGCTGCGGCCGGACCGATTTGAGGGGCTCTGGGGGACATTGCCAGCGGAAAGAGTCACACCAGCAAGTTGAAGTCCCGGTAGAAGATTGCCCTGTTTCCTCCTCTCTTGCGCCCGCCAAGAGGGACTGTAACAGGTACTTCCGCGGAGCGATTCTTCGTATATCCTGACGGCAGCAGGTGATAAGTCGACAGCATCGACAGGCAGACATCCCAATTCTTCCCTAGGTCGAAGGTCTAGTGTGCCATTGGGCTGGCGAAGATGTTGTGATGTTATAGGGCGTTTTGTAGGGCTGTCGTAGTCAGATAGAGGCTCAACAGGCAGGTTTTCTGATATTTGTTGGTTCTCCTCAGTGTCTTGTTCTTGCATATTGTCCTTCTTGTCCTCGTCCGCCTCTTGCTCCTCACTTTGGTCGCCAATCAGCTCTTCAATTTGCTCTTCATCCAAATCTGTCAGCGACGAACCCTCGTCTTCGTCAACGTTGATGAGCCCTGCTTCCTCCTCGTCACTGTATCCTAGGTTGACTTGTTCACTTTTCTCAACGGTGGCCTCGTCGTTATGCTCTACCGAATCATCCCTGCCAGCTCCCTCTGCGACAACCGATGATGACACAATGAACGACCGGGAACCATGCATCCTTGGTGTAATTTCGACTTGAAGGCTCTTCAACGTATCGGGTGAACTCGGCTCGTAGGTGTCTTGATCAAACGGGTCGTCCAGTCCTGATTGATTTGCGACTGTGTCTTGCCATGCTTTGATCTCGTGTAGGATTCCGTCGTCTAGATAGCGGTGGGATGTATTGGGAGTGTTGGGCCTCGAGCTGGCTTCGTCATGGACGCGCGACTGTTCGTGTTGGCCACGCACTGCGCTCTCCACAATCGTTGGTGTAGCTGCTATGACTATTGATTCTTCTTCGGCAGGGCCTGGAGTGGAATGGGCCGCCTGTGATTGAATCCTCCTCTGTCTACCGGTCTTGGACCGCCATGGATTCGTCCAGCCGCTCTCTTTGGTAAAGGGACCTCTCAGCGACGCAGACAGCAGCAGCATGGGCTTGCCCTGGAGAAAGCGCTGGCCCTTGTCCTCGTATCGCTCTCGTCGCTCGGCCGGGGAGTTGTAGGCTTCATCTTCGGAACCGGAGTACAAGATGTCTTGGGACGTGTGGATGGCTTCGGCGTAGACAGGTTCATCGGGAAAGGCTTCGGTAAGCCAGCCGTGGACAAGGTGCGAACGGCGTTTCATTTTGTCAGGTCGTTTGGACGGGCTCGTTGGCTACTATTAGCCGAAACAGGTTCGGTTGTGACTGTTACATGGATCGAGGTATGGCAGTCGTGGTCTAACAAGGACGAGAGTGGCATTCAGGTCATTCCGGGTCGTCGTCCTGAGCACAGAGTGAGCGCATCGCCGGTCGAGATGTCGTGTTGAGTGGCAGTTTGGCTTGGTCGAGGGTGTGGATAGTAACTTGGGACAAACAGATTGATTGGGTTACAAAAAGGGAAAAGTCGTGATTGAAGCCGTTTTGCTGTCATTCGTCGGTATTCGTTGCTTTTTCTGTCGTCTCAAGCACACATCAGATTCGGGTTTAGCTTGGCGACTCGCAATCGCTACTTACCTACAATCGTACATAGCAAACAGTGTCAGGGTTATGTTAACGGATCGCGTCACATTTCCTTTCTTTGTGAGCTTCGTGTGGTGTTCGCGCAAAACCATTAAAGAGGGTTCGCCAAGTCATGTGACATGATTTTGGAGACAGCTGCAAGCTCTTTAACTGGACACTACAGGTGGAGATTGGAGAGCGGGGCATTTGCGGATCTGCCCTGCAGTTTCCACTTTGAAGATCGACAAATGCTGTCAAGGCGGGATGGCTCGTGCTCCCATGAGTGATCAACTTGAAGGTGAGACAGCAACTTCAAGACGGACAGTAAACGACGGTGGGCCAATCACGGCTTATGCCGCTGTCTGTTTCCCTTACCAGGAATTGGAGACGCGAGCGCTATGGCGTTGTCAATCTGAACGTCTCACTGAAGAAACACAAGGGAGTCGGGTGGCCGGGGACAAGCACTACACTACACTACCGGGAGTCTCTGCCATGTAGAATTGGAGAAAGTACAAGGCAGAGAGAGACACAAGAGCGGGAAGAGTTAGAGGTACTGTTGTGATTGGAGCGTTTTGTAATGTATGGATGGTTAAGAAACAGCAAAATATGTAAAAGACTGGTAATGCCCTGATCTGAGATAAGGAAAGGTCTGATCCAAGCTTCCATCCAGGCACAAGAAACACAATAACAACAACAACAACCAGCCTTCCCTTGCAACCCAGGCAAGTTATGATCCAAGCAAATGGGTTCAGCCACCTGGATTATGTTCCTTCCTTGTAGCCGTGTCGTGCCGTGTTCTTGGGTCGTGAGTGGTAGAGAGGGAGGTCGCGTTAATGGGCCGCCCAGCTCTTTCTCTCTCAGTTCAAGACTTCCTGTTACACATTACCGGATTAAAGTACCTTTTTGACTTTCAACAACAAGAACTGAACACTTTCATAGCCAAACATCAGCATATCAACCATCGACGGCCAGCCTTACAAACCGGGCCTTTTCCACCGATCGTGTCTTACCCTTGCATATCTTTACGCTGTTTCAAACCCAACATTCATCAACTTAGTCTTGTGTTTAAACACCTGACTGCCGTGGACAACAGGCGTATGGTACAGGTCCATAACATACATAGATAGGTAAGTAACTGAACATGACCATTGGCCGCGCCCCGCTCCTCTCGTCGTCCACTCTCCACGTCAAACACATGACGGAAACCTTTTTTCTGCAAACGGAGCACCACGGCTGCTGTCCATACGGGTACCGCGTTAGGTAACAAACAAGCTCAACCAAACAGCACTCAGCAAAAGAGCACCTTCAACGAACAAACCGACGACAACTTGACGGAAAGAGATCGATACGTACCCCGCGATTTTGTTGGACAGAGAGAAACAAAGGGAAAAAAAAAAAAAAAAAAAACAGATTCTTGAATTTCTCTGGGCCACTCTCGGGAAGAAGAATCCACCCTTCCGCCCACTGCGATTATTCCATCCAGTCACCGATCCCAGAGCTTTCGTCACAGGCTACTAGGTCCCGTCCCGTCATAGCAGCGTTGTCACAGTCCATCCACATTTTACCACTACGCCCAGCACACACACACACACACACACACACACGCACCACCTACCATACTCTCCGCCGATTGCGTTGCGCACCCACCCACCAACTTCCCAACTCGTCTCGTGTTCCGACAACCCGTTTCGTTTTCCCCCGTTTCCATTTCCAGGATTTGCTTCCCAAACTGGCATCCGACCATCCGACAAACCGCCCAGGATGGGGCATGCTTGGCTCGACTCCCTCTCGGAGGACTGGCCCTCCCAGCCTGGCTCTCTAGCCTCGGACGCGTCCCAGTTTGCAAAGAAGCTGGACAGCCATCAGCGGTCACAGTCGCAGTCGCAGTCGCAGTCGCAATCCCAATCTCGACCCGCCACCGCTCACAGTCGCAATTTATCCCAAGCAGACTCCGCGACTTCCCAAAGCAGGAAAAAACCTCCAAAGACCCCTCCGAGCCGAATCCCTAGACCGAATTCGAGTCGAACGAGTGCCAACAACAGCATCCTACCCGATGATCGCCGCAACAGCAACACCGCTTCCAACCCTGCATCGCGCCGTGGCTCGACCAAGTCCCTCGGCGATAGAGTTCGCGACCGCCAACGAGCCATTGACGCCCGAAGTCGCACCGCCTCCGTAGCCGAATCCGTCCAGTCTGCCGGCTCCGTCATCCACAACACTGTTAATCGCAAGGAAGTGAATGGCTCGCCAGGGAGGAAACAGGATACTCCAGAGTGGAAGAGACGTTTGGTATACCGAGAGCTTGATTATGGCGAAGCACCCGACTTGTTTACTTCGGCTGGTGCAATCCTCGAATCCATCTTCAAGCCACCACCACCACCACCACCACCTCCTCCAGCTGCGTCGAACATGAATGCGGCGGACACCCATACGAATGCGGATACGCGAAACGGCCGAGGTTTCGAATCCCAGTACGAGTCGCAAGCCGAATCCCATGTCGAAATTACGTTGCCTTCGAGCCCGCCCTTTCTGGGCAGAGAACGGGACCCTTCAACCGTCGAGATACATGTGGATGAGTCTTTCCAATCGCTTCCCCCAATACCTAAGGAGCAAGAGGAGGAAGTCGAAGAGGAACAACAAGAGCAACAACGGCGCACAATACCAGAAATACGGTACCGACGGGCTACCGATTCCACTGACCCCAGTCAAGGATCCGAGTCCAGTTTCCGCGCCTCTACTAGCCAGCAACAGACCTACCCCAAGGTCCGGTCAGGCACACCATCCACCTCCGCCTCGTCCCATCTTGGAAACCTCAGCGCTGGATCGCGTCAGGCAAGCGGCCAGAGCGTCTTGCGCCATGAGGATTTCAGCCCGATCCTACTCACTATGCACGACGAGGGCGAGGGCAACTCGAGTTTTGTGCCGGATATTTCCCCAGACGAGCTCCGATACCGCCTTGAAACTCTTAGAAAGAATCAGTTGCGCATGGCCCGTTCTGGCAAGAGCGATTCCGGAGGTAGTGTCTCGGGGAAGAGCGAGTCTGGAAAGAGCGAGGCTGAGGCTGCCGAGACGGGTGGTTCGTCAAGAAGCGACAACAAGGCAGGCGACACTAGCAACACCTCCAAGGACTACGAAAAGCTGGGAAGCTACATCAACGTCAGAAGAGGTGGCCGATCTGCCGACGGATCATTCCAGAACCACATGTTGAGCTCAGCATTGAACGATATCTCGGATCTCAATCCAGAGGAGTCTCTTCAAGCTAGCACCCCCAAGCGCTTTCCCTCGGTCAAGATCGAGAACTGGGATGACTACGAGCACGTTCCTGCACAGGTCTCTGGCCACATCTCCGACGAAATTTCTCCCCGCACCAGACCTGCAGTTCCCCGAATCCCTAATCTCAGCGTATCCACGAAGCGCGTACCATCTTCACAGCAAGGGGCCGGCAGCCCTTTGAAGCTCTTCCAGCCCTACGATACCTTTACCAGCGAGATTCTGCAAAGACGACTCAGTCAATATCACGACGACACCCCGGGTGAACAGGCTTCTTCTGGACAGCAAACTGGAGATGAGTCTCCAGTACACGTTTCCTACATGGACTCTGGAGGCTATTTATCACCACCCAAGACCCACACGCGTCGAGGACAGGAGACGGGTCAACGCAAGGCCTCGGTTGCAGTCAACCAATTTGGAGCTGGGGTCTTGGATGGATACGAGTTTCAGGACGATTTCTCGTACCAGTCGGTTGGCGCATCCGGCATTGAGGGTGACAAGGAAAACCAGGGTCCAAATGACGATTCTCAGCCAGAACCCCGGATCCCTGTCGTCGACTTCAGCCGTCCTTCTTCGCGCTCTGAAGCCGACGCCGGCGACGACGCTGATGCGAGCAACTCTTCGGTGCGTAGGAAGCGCCAAAAGCCCGCTGACTCGGGTTCATCGAAGCGACATTCTAGGATGGGGTCAAGCATGGCGCATAAGAAACGTCATGCTTTCACCCATATCCCCGCTACGTTTGCAACGCCAAGCAAGCGACGATCAGACCCAGCCCCCGAGTTCAAGCGGCCGCGCACTTCTCCGTCAAAGGATCCGACCCCTAAACGACGTAGGACTCTGCATGAGTCGGACATCGAATTTGGACTGCAAGATATCTCTCCCTCTCCGGAAACGCAGTCCATGAAGCTGTCGTACCAACAGATACAGGCTGCTATCGAGAAGCGGCGCAAAGAAGTACACGCTGAAAAACATCGCGAACAGGTTGAGCCTGGTACGCCCTCGGGCAAAGATGTGCCGAGACCACGCACGCCGACACCTCTCCAGAGATCGTCTCTTCAGAAGGACGGAAAGAAGGGAAGGCCGCCTTTAACGGAGCTCATCACAAAGCCATCCAGTCGTCCTACTAGGCCGTCATCCAAGGCGTCTTCTAAGGGCCGCACGCCCAAGAAACATGGCGGACCAGGGTCGGCAATGAACACCGACCGCAAACCTTCCATCAAAACCGAGGATTTCCTCATCGAAGCCAACAAGATCATGGCCATGATTCGCAAGAATGCCGCCAGCGGTCTAACTAGTGTTGAGGAGTCGGATGAGTATGATTCTCGCCATGATGCAGATGGGGAAAGCTCCTATGAGGAGTCCACTCAGGAATCGTTCCTGCGTCCGCCCAGCCGCGAGGGACGCCCGCCTTTGACGCGCAGACCAACCAAGCAGGAAGATCCCGTCCTTGCAGAGCGTCTCAAACAGTATGAGGAAGCAAGCGATATGGGCGACATCATGGGCTCGTCTCTGCGTTCGGCTGCCCTGCACCGGCAAGGCTTTGGTACTGTACGGCAGGATGAAAAGCATCATGCAGGCAAGAAGGGTGGACCTGTGTTGCCCAACTTTAGGGAAGACGGTGTCATCAGCGACCCGCCAAACATTCGCATCTCCTGGAACCCAGCGCTCAAGACCAAGCTGTCGCATGAAAACGTTGAGGATGGAAGGCATACCCAGTCCGAGTCTGATAACTACACGGGACGGTCATCTCACACCACCTCGTCCAAGGGCTCCGATAGTAGAAAGACGATTGCGCCGGAAAGTGTACTGCATCTTATTCCAGACCGAGTCGGCAACATGGTGCTGGACAGGGAAAGAAATGTGTGGGTCAGGAAGCGTCCATCTAACGGGTTCATGGGCAGCAGACAAAATAGTTTCATTGCCTCGGAGGTGAGCGAAGATGACCCGTTCGCTGACATTCCCGATCTCACCGTGGACATCACGGAGGAATTGGAAAAGTTGCGGCTCACGACCAACCAGCGGGGGCAGGAGCACGAGCACGAGCAGGATGATGTCGACCTGGACCAAGCATCGGATGTCGCGGCACCTTTTGGCGATGACGATTTCCTTAACTCGGAACCGCAGTGGCAGCCAACCGGGAGTCGCAAAGACTCTGACACGTCGAACCCTGGCAAGAAAAACAAGCCAGCCAGAACTGACGAACAGCGCGACGCAAAGCCCTCGTTGCAGTCACCAACCACGGCGGCGGGCACAGGTACAAGCAGCACAGGAGTCGATGTCGAACATGAAATTGGGATATACGAGGACCGAGTAAGCAACATCCCACAAGCAGCCCGGCCCAGACGTCTCACGATCAGTTTCTCATCACCTATTGCGTCTATTATCCAGGACATCCAGGAAGTAGCAGACGACGTTGACTCCGATGCCGACGCCCCGAGCGCGCTAGGACTAACAACAGGTGGGGAGGGCAACAACAAGCAGCAGCAGCGCAAGCGTAGCCTGCCACCTCTGCCGCCCAGAGGTTACACCAAACAGCAACAACAGCAGCACCCGCAACCCCGAGGCCGCGGAGCCGTCTCCAAGCTCAGGAACGACGTTGTGTCTGGTTCAGCGTCTAGGTCACGCAGCCGTTCACGAGGTCCGCCGCGTCACTTGTCCGTCAAAGGCCAGACGTACATGGCAAGACCTGTTTCACGGATTGACGAGCATGATGAAGAATCCAGTAATGCTAATAAGAACAGCTTCCCATTTCATGGTCATGGCCAGCCGCCGTTATTATCGCCACAACCTCAGGGTATGGAACTCAGCATCGTTGCTGCTGATACATCAATGGTCAACCAAGACGACCACGAAGCCCAACAACACAACAGCATTTCCTTCCTGGTGGCAACACCCGCTCACCATCTACGACCATGCTCCATGTCCGGCGCTGACCCGGCTCACATCATCGGCCAGTATGTCGGCACCTTCTCTCTCAGCCCCCTATCGGACTTCACCATCCACCCTCCCGACGAGTCGTCATTGGCTCTTGAAGCAAGTTACGTTATTGGCAACCACCACCTCGTCACCGGCGACCACCACTCCCGTGGCCGCTCTATGTCCATGTCTACCCGTGACCTCGTCGCCAAGCTCACCGAAGTCGAGCCCTTTGAGCCCTACTGGGAAGATATGCGCAACCTCTGCCTTGCGCACAAGCGTTTGGAATCCCTGCATGCTCTCGATGAGTTCTGTGGCCGTCTCGAATCCCTAGACGCCAGCCACAACGAGATTAGGAACCTCACCGGCGCTCCGTCCACTACTCGCTTCCTCAAGATGACCAACAATCAGCTGTCAAGCCTGACGGCGTGGGGACACTTGACCAACCTGCAGTATGTGGATATCTCCAACAACCGATTGACGAGCCTGAATCCGTTCAAGCAGTTGGTGCATCTGAGGGAGTTGAGGGTGGACAATAACCGTTTGGAGAGCTTGGAGGGGATCAAGTTTCATGATGGGTTGCAGGTGTTGAGGGCGCGAGGGAATTGCATTGAGGAGGTGGACTTTGATGGGGCGAGGCTGGTGCATCTTACCGAGTTGGACTTGAGGGGTAACAAGATTAAGAGGGTGGTGAACCTAGACCAGCTCCCGGTTTTGAGCTCGCTTAACCTCGAAGGGAACCAGATTGACGTGTTTGAGGTTGGCTCGCCGGCCGCACTTACCTCTGGTTCCTCTCCCGTTTCTGATCACGGTCAGGCCGTTAGTCCGTTGAGGTACCTTCATCTCAACGATAACTGTCTGAGCCATCTGTCCATCCACCACCTCCCCCATCTACGACTCCTCCATGCCGACCGTAACCGCCTCGTCCGCATCCACGGCTTCTCCCGTGCTCGCCACCTCGACTCGCTCTCCCTCCGCGAGCAGCAAGGTCCCGAACCTCTCGACCTCGATCACCTCCTCTCTCGGGCCTACGAAGTCCGCAAACTATTTTTGTCTGGCAACTACCTAGGCAGCACCACCAACCCCAAGGGCGTTGAAGAGAGTGGTTTCAACCCTCCCATCGATCTGCTCAACCTGCAACTCCTCGAACTAGCCAACTGCGGCCTGACCAAATTACCCGTGGACGTCGGACAGATGATGCCCAACCTGAGGGTTCTCAACCTCAACATGAATGCGCTTGAGGATCTGTCGCCATTGAGACATGTACCGCGGTTAAAGCGGCTGTTCATCTCCGGGAACCGAATTAGGGATTTAAGTTCGCTAGTTGACGTCCTTGCCAACTTTTCCTGCCTCACAGCTGTTGATTTGCGAGGGAACGGACTAGTAATGGGGTTTTACTCACCTGTTCAGGAACTCTGCAAAGGCAACACTAGCCTCGGCGGCAAGCAGGACAAACCCACCACCAACGCAGACGAGGATGCACGGAAGGGACAGGAAGAAGCAGATGGTGGTGGCCAGGAGCAGGAAGAAAACCACGAGAATAAAGACCAGTGGACTCTCCCCTCGCAAACGCTCGCTTCCGATAAAGCGTACGCGTCGAGACTTGATCTGCAGACCAAGATGCGGCGTAGGGTCTATGATCATTTACTGGCTGAGAAGTGTACAAGGCTGAAGAAAGTGGATGGTCTCCCGTTTGATCGCGATCATGTCCTTTCTCTCAGGGACGAAGTCTGGAAAGCGTTGGTTGCTCGCGGGGTGTTTACAGTTCCGGGCCAGAGTCACGGTCAGAGTCACGGTCAGCAGACTCCAGCGGGCGCGAATGCGATTGCGGCTCCTGTTCCGGGTAGTGCTGCTGCCCCTGCCTTTGCCCTTGCTCCTGGGAATGACTTGGTGGGAGGCGGTGGAGTCCCGAATGTTCGAGGCGTACCTGGCCTCCCTACAGGTGCTTCCAGCTTTGGGTCAGCTGTAGGTTTTGGATTCGGTAGTCCTACAACAGTGGTGGGTAGTGATGCTGAAGGGCCGGGACACCTTCAAAGTCACGGTGTTGGTGGGAGGAGGCAGAGCATGAGTATGAGCATAAACATGAACATGAGTCCTGTGGCTGGACGCGTCCCAGTCAACGGGCAGGGTCAGTCTCAGTCTCAGTCTCCGTACCAACAGCAGCAGCAGATGACGCAAAATGGAAGTCCGTCGAATGTAAGAGGTCGTGGAGTTAATGGAGTTAATGGACGGCGGAATGGCGGGGTGTTAAGAGAGGTGGACATGAACGCTAATGGCGGGATGGGTGGTGTGAGCGGTGGTGGTGGTGGTTATGGAATGAATGGGTGTCCTCCGAATCAAAATCTCATGGGACAAATGGGACAGAGAGAGACACAGGGCCAGAGCCAGAGAAGTGAAAGGGAAATGGAAGAGAGGCTCAGACAGATGCAGAGAGAGAGGGAGGAGAGGTGGTTGGCTGGTTGAGGAGTAAGTGGAGAGTTTCCTGCTGGGTGGAATGGTGAAGCTGCACTGTTCGGTTTCGCTTTCTATGAGGGGGGTTTCTGGCTGCTATCGCTGGTTTCTTTTGTCGAATGTCGAATGTTGATTGATGACTGGATGGATAAATGGATGGATGCATGAAATGTTTGTCATGAACTGTCATGATTACGAAAAGTTTTTCTCTTTTTCTTTCTTCTTCTCCTTCTCCTTTTTTTTTTTTTTTTTTTTTTTTTTTTTTTTTTGCTGGGTTGGCTGGCTCTGTTCTTTCTATTATGGTTTTCTTTTCAACAAGCAAGGAGTTATGATGACGCGTGCATAGCAACGGTTTGTTTTCTGGTATGGTTTACGGTGTATGGATTCTTGTTTTTTTTTTTTTCTTATTGTTTTCCTTCTCATTGTTTTCCTTCTCAATGTTTCTTGTTCTTGTAGTATGGGATCAAGTTTATGGCTATATAGATAGTCGGTAAAGGGCGCTTCATGACAAGCATAGCATGGCATGGCATGGTTATGATTCTAGGGTATCGTGTGTACTAGAACTAGGGAACGAAAAATAGGTGGGAAGGGGTGAGGGTGTTTAGAGAAAGAAGGAGAGAGAGAAGGAGAGAGAGAATGGCTCAATGAAATGAATTGAGAAGTGGAATGAAATGATTCTTCTCCTTGTCTTCTTGGAAACAAGGTTTGCTTTCCGTGCATGTTGGATGTGAGACCGTTGTTCGCCTGGCTATAGTAACAGTAACAGTAACAGTAACAGTAACAGTAACAATACCTACCTCACTCACCCCACCACGTCAAACACTTTCAAGTACACATTCAAGTACACTTGTCACAGCTCCAGTCGTCGCCATCGAGTAACACCCTACTTTAACTAATGAACAAAGTCCCTGGACCATTCTCATTCGAAAAGAACGGACGGTACAACCACAGACATTAACAACTACTTATCCCAGCTTCTCAGCTCCTCTCCTCAGCTTCAGACGAATCTCGTCTATATGAATGACTCTTTATCCTCACCATCAATTTCTTGAATAGGTAGTTTTTTTGCCATCTAGTCCCAGCGTACCTACATTCAAGGTACCAAAGTAGGTACCAACTTACCAACGCCCAACTTACTTACCAAAAGTTCCAACGTACGAAACAATCAATCAATCAATCAGCTTCTTCACTCTCACACATTTATCAGGTGAGTGAGTGAGTGAGTGAGTGAGTTTGTGAGAGTCTCCGAGATTCACGGACAAGCAAGCAAGCAAGCAGTTGAAACTAGGTAGAGGTAGTAAGCTAGGTAGCTAGCTAGCTAACCGGCTGGCTGGTTGGTTGGCTGATTCGAGAGCTATCATCTATCTACAGTCAACTACTTATCAACTATCTATCAAATAGGAATCCCGTCATGGCGGGACTAGCCTGGTCTGGTCTGGTCTGGTCTGATGGACTAGCCTGGACAACTGAGTGACTTGGATAATAACGTAGGTAGTAGTAGTACTAACTCCCAGTTCAGCAATAACTTGGAGGGTTAGAAGGAAATTTGTCACTACCTAGGTAGGTACTTATCACTAAAGAAGATAAAGGGAAGAAAAGAAAACAAAAGTATATATATATATACATCTACATATACATCTATATATACGTCTATATATGAAGGGTGGGGTGGGGGGAGAGAGAGAGGGAAAAAAGAGAAAGAAAGGAACTAACTATCTATCTTGCAATCACTTCCTCAGACTTCGTTGGGTTAGACAGGTTATTTGTTATACGGGCTACCTACCTAAACAGAACAAGAGTTTTTTCTTTGACAAGCCAACGGGTAAAATACCCACTCACTTATAGGAAGGACTATACGGTAGTACACTGAATAATTTTTGGAATGAGAGTTTATAGAGTTGTAAATACACTGCGTTTATTACCTACTACGTATTTACCTAGGTACAGTGATACAAGTGACGAGGTTTATTCATGGTATGATAATCTCGGGTTGTCTCTCTGTTCTGTTCTGCTTGGTTCTTATCTGTTTTGGTCTGTTCTGGTTTGCTCTGTTCACTGCTGCTCACTGCTGCTCACTCTTGTCCTGTCTTTATCCATATATCCATAAAATAACCGGATGTTATGATAGACACAAACACCAAACTTAACTCTTTCAACACAGCCATAACAAGCAATTGCACTTTCATAAATTCCATCAATCAATCACCCAACTTGAAGACTCCCTAAACACCCTACCAAACAATCTACCAACCAACCGGATACTCCAATAACTAATCAACAAAACAAACAAACAAACAAACAAACAAACAAACAGCCGGCCAAGTCTGTACATCAAACATTTCTCAACTCGACACCCTCCAGTCTCCTCCCATTACTTTCCGTTCTGTATTATAATCTCCACACTGTAATCGCATCTTTCGTAAGTTGGCCTTACTCCGACACAAACCCCTCATCCTCCTCGGCACCATACGCAGCATCCTCCATCATCTCCCTCTCAATCTCCTCATCCACCGCCCTCCACGTCCCCAACCCCAACTCCCTCCTCACATCCCTCTGGATCCTCAAAAAGTACCTCCGCAAACTCCTCAGACCCCTCAAAAACCCGTTATCCGGTTCCTGCGGATACCGAGGCGGACACGGCTTGCCTTCGATGCCATTGGCAGCCAAGTCCTCGGCCGTGACACAATTGGCAAAGTCCGCCATTTTGAAATCGATTTCGTGCTTGTCTTTCTTCTTCTTGCCTCCGCCGCCGCCGCCGCTGCCGCCGTTCAAAGTACTGTCAATGCGATGCTTAATGGAGACGGCGTCGTCGTTATCCGTCGCAAAGTCGGTCGAGTAGTAATCTTCCATGGCCGTGTCGTATTCCGAGTGCGTGGTGGTGGAGGGCGTGGGAGGCGCAGGAGGGGGAAGCGGTTCGCCGTCGTAGAACATGAGGAGCGAAGCGGCGTAGAAGCGGTAGCCTTTTAGTCTTCTGATGATGACTTCCAGTTCTGATAGCTTGTGCAGCACGGTGGGGATGTGCCGCAGGATGGAGGCGCGGTCGACGCCGTTGTAGAGGAATCGGGTCAAGGCGTCTTGGAACTCTTGGCCGGCTTTGAGGTCGCGGCCGTAGTACTTGTCTTTGAAGACGTAGGACTGGGTGGCGACGTCCCAGACTTGGAGACCGCAGACGCGCACGCCGAGCTCGCGAGAGGTGGTCTTGGCGCATTTGCCTTGTTGGGATTTTTGCTTCTTGGGGGAGGCTTCGACGCCGTATTGACGGGTGCCCATCTTGAGGTCCATGATGCAGGGACGCTTCATGCCGGCAGTGAGGTCTTCAAGCAGCAAGAAGTACTCGACGCGGGAGTCGGTTTGCGTCTGAGCTTCTTTGGGGTTGATGGGGCGGGGGATCTTGGCGATCTCGTTGTGCGGGCTGGAAGGAGCGAGGTCATCGGCGGTGGCGGTGTCGACGCCGTTGGTACCATTAGTACCATTGTGTGTAGTGTCCAAAGGCCCAATGGACTCCTCTCCTGGTACGTCCGGGACGCCACCAGACTCAAACACGGGCTCCTCGTTATCAGCCTTGTAGGGAGCCGAGTCAGCCTCCTCAAAGTACTGCAGGTCGCCGCGCGAATCCTCGACATCCTTTGGCTTTCTCCTCAGTCCCGTCCCCGAGTACCGACGCTTCTTCTTTGGCTGGGCGGGCGACGCATCCTTCAGGATCTCTGGCTCAGGAGCACTAGTCCCCGTCACGTCCTTAGGGCCGTCGTCTTCCACTCCTTCTTCCCTGAAGCTGCGCGGTCGGGTGGCTAGGTTCTCCTCGCTTCGTACCAGGTCGCAGGGCTTGAGGCGCGACTCCTCACCAGCACTGCTAGCCCGCGGCTTGGCATCTTGAGCGACATCCAGGTTCGGATCCGACTCGGTGTGGCGGAGGACTGGTTGCAGACTTCGCCGGGAAAAGGGCCTCTGGTGACCCTTCTTATGACGGTGAACAGCAACGGGCTGCTTGAGGAAGGCGTCGTTGAACACCTCATTGCGCAGCCGCTTATTCACCATGGTGGCTCCCCAGCTGTTAGCATGCCGATCCTCCAGCCTTGGTCGCAACATGTGGCTGGGGTTCTCAGCACATTGTCCGTTGAGGATCCTACGCCCATGGAGAGAAGCCGAGGAGGCACTCCGTAAGCGAGTGAAAGAGCTTGACGACGCCAACGCTGGTTGAATCAGGCTCCGAGGGAGAATATGTTGGTTGTCAACAAAGGTGACGGTAGGGATCTGACCCAGCGGTTGCTGCAGCGACTGGCTAATCATGCGCTGCTCAAGCTGCGCCGGCTGGGCACCGTTTGTTGTTGGTGCTGCTTCATCCCCTTTGGCACCGGAGCTTGTAGCTTCGTTTTCGCCCGCTGCAGGGGCTTCCAGCGCAGCAGCCGCCTCGTCTTTCTTGTGCACCGACTTTCGGCGAGGCTTCTTTTGGAAGGTAACGTTCAAGACACCAATATATCTGCAGCAACAACAGGGTTAGTCATGGGATCGTACGGCTATACATGATATGCATGGGACGACAACATACCTTGGCAAAAAAGCCAACAAGTCGCGATGGTATCGTTCAATTTTTTCATAGAATTCATTTTCTCGGTTGTTCAACTGTTTACAGACGGCCCGCCGAGAAAAGCGCCAGAGAGTGGTGTGCCCTCCGACTTGGTGTTTGTAAGGGATCAGTTCAATTGCATCTAGGGGCTGCTCTTCTTTGGTCTCCCCTTGGTGGTCATGGACGACATCTTCGGGATGACGGTGGTGGTGATGATGATGATGATGATGACGAGCATGATGCGCAATGGACTGGAATGGCTTCTGTGGTGGAGGGACACCAGTTTCAATCTCGTCCGCAACGGCAGGTTCATTGACTTTGCCAGTGTCTATCTGAGAACCTACAAAAGGAACAGTAGCAGCGCTGTCGGCAGCAGGCTTGGCAAGCCGATGGGTCTTTTCAACGTCAGGACACTCGTCTAGACATTCGACCTCAGGCTCACCCGCTTTCACAAGCCACGAATGGAAATCTTCAGCCCGTGAGTGTGTTCTGGAGGGAAGCGCAGTTCGGGAAGAAGCGGCGCCAGGCACGTCGGAGTGCTCCTCCTCGGCCTCCTCGGGGCCCTGATGTGGTAGGAACACGGCCGACGAAATCTTTTCCTCCCCAGACTCTTCGCCCTCCTCTGTATGC